GCGAGAACGGCTGGAGCACAACTGGCTGGAGCTAGAAACGGCGAGCTAGGGCTGGCTGGAGGTAGGAACGGCCGGAGCTAGAGACCGTAGGTGCGGCTGTCGGCTGCCGCTAGTAGAGCCACTGGCAGTGGAACGTACGTGCGACAGTAGGGGCTGCAGTACTGACGGCTGCGGGATGCAGGCAACTGTGCAGGTCGTCCGGCAAGCAGGAACGCGGCCGACAGTTGCAGGCCCCCACCCGAAACCCTTTTTTTTTTTTTTTTTTTTTTAGGGTTTAATTTTTTATTTATTTATTTATTTTCTGGCGCTAAAGCGCTCCGGGGCGCGCTGCCTGCAGGGTGTGCTGCCTGCGGGGCGCGCTACCCGCGGGGCGCGCCGCCTGCGGGGCGCGCTACTCGCGGGGCGCGCTGCCCCCGCGGCGCGCTGCCTGCGGGGCTGGGGCGACGGGCCAGGGCGCGGGTTGGGGCGACGGGCTAAAGCGGGCGCCTGGGCGACGGGCTAGGGCGGGCGCCTGGGCGACGGGCTAGGGCGCGGGCCTGGGCGACGGGCGAGGGCGGGCGCCTGGGCGACGGGCTAGGGCGGGCGCCTGGGCGACGGGCTAGGGCGCGGGCCTGGGCGACGGGCTAGGGCGGGCGCCTGGGCGACGGGCTAGGGCGGGCGCCTGGGCGACGGGCTGGGGCGGGCGCCTGGGCGACGGGCTGGGACGGGCGCCTGGGCGACGGGCTGGGGCGGGCGCCTGGGCGACGGGCTGGGACGGGCGCCTGGGCGACGGGCTGGTGCGGGCGCCTGGGCGACGGGCTAGGGCGGGCGCCTGGGCGACGGGCTAGGGCGGGCGCCTGGGCGACGGGCTAGGGCGGGCGCCTGGGCGACGGGCTAGGGCGGGCGCCTGGGCGTCGGGCTAGGGCGGGCGCCTGGGCGTCGGGCTAGGGCGGGCGCCTGGGTGACGGGCTAGGGGCGCAGGCTAGGGGCGCTGAGGGCTCTAACGCGCGGAGGAGGAGGGCGCTAAGGCGCGGAGATGGCGCGGAGGGCGCGGAGGGCGCGGAGGCTAAGGCGCGGAGGGCGCGGAGGGCGCGGAGGGCGCGGAGGGCGCGGAGGGCGCGGAGGGCGCGGAGGGCGCGGAGGGTGCAAGGGTGCGGAGGGCGCAAGGGTGCGGAGGGCGCTAGGGCGCTAGCTAGGCTAGGCGAGAGGATCGACACCTACTCATGATACCATCTCAAAGTTAGCGAACAACGGAGTGTGTGAACTAGGGAAACAAGGGATACAAATAGCAACCCTAAAAGTGTTGTACTCCCTAGAGTGCTACTCACTGTAGCCTAAGAACCTATAATAACATTTGACAACCTGTTACGGGTGCAATGAATCGAGGTAGCGAGGATTGCACTAAGGTGTCAAACGAGTACAAAATGTGAGCGAAGGCATGAGCGAACATTTAGACGCGAAACATGCAAACGGTAACGCGGTGCGTGCGAGCTAGCTAGTGCTACGCTGGCAGCGAGGCTCGGGCTAGTCCCGAAGCGTAGGCCGACACGGCCAGGCCAGCAGTGCGAGGTTTGGTGAAACAGTGCGCGCGAAGTCGGCGAAGCCCCGTTAGCAGTAACGGGCGAACAACGGCGGCTGCTGTACGCGATGTTGCAGGGCGCGCTAAGGAATGTTGAGAAAATTCCAGAAAACACCGTAAATATGTTGTAGCCAATTTAGGTGCAGCATGCCACCCGTGTTTGGAGTACCGTGTGTTATCCATGCCAGACTGTGGCTTCAAGCGAAGAAAACCTGAAACTGGGCACGCAGTTTGCTGTTCACGTGGCCCGTTGCTGAGAGGATGTGCTGCGCTGGCCAGCTATAATTGGTTTAAAGTTGCAACGGACGGATGAGAACCTTCGTTAGTGGTGCCGAGGCGAAAACGCCATTGGTAAACTCTTCTTCCCGCCTGTCTTCGGCTTCTGACCGTCCAATCGAACGGTTTAACTGTATATCTTCCCTCTGAAGCCAACGCCCATCCGGGTACGGCTGTCCCCGAAACGGGGCACGCGCTTATGGTGATCGATGGGGGTTTTGGCGACTAAACGCACAGCCGGTATAATGCTGCTTACCGAAGCGCCTTCTCCCTACGGGGGGTTGGTTTCCTCCGGGGATCTCCTTAAAGCCAAAAAAAAAAAAAAAAAAACTGTATATCTTCGCCACGTTGGACGACTGACGCATCGCTTTGAGCTCTTTTCCCGCCTACATGTCAAGATCTCATTGCTTTTGACGAGGCACAGTTTTGGGTGCGTCCACGTCGCTTTGAAACTGCTGCTTGACCAGGCCCCTTCGCATCCGAACTGAACTGAAGCCTGACCCCGCACGCAGACTTTGCGGAAAAGTTTCCGCCAACCCGTGAGACGGACGGTGGCGGAGGTAGACGCTTGCGGGGGAGTTGGAGGTCGAGTCGAACACATGCAACAGGCATGCTGCAAGCACATGGGACCCAATGGGCCAGCAGGCAAAATCTCCCTGCCACCCTCGTGCTGACAGTTTATTCCGCCGCACAGTCGTACCAGATATTTTCGCACCGTTTTCGCATCATGTCGCATATATGGGGAAGGAACCTTGCGCGAACTTGGAAGTGTTGATTTCCACAGTAGGGATGATAGAATCGGGGTACTGTATGGTAACAACGTCAGCACTGAATCGTTATCATGCTTGCGGGATAAACGTTTTTGGCATGGCTCTGCTGATGCTCCTCAACAGAACTTCTGACTGGGACCATGGCAATCATCATTCCCAGTGGTGAACGCATGAGTCAGGCCGTGGAACCAACAGAAGTAGAACAGTGAACGGTCATTCTCCCTTCCCCCCGTTGCCTAGGAAACTGGGTTGGTGGGGAAGGTCCGCATGGGCAAGCAGCAACCTGGAAAGGTTTGGGGACAAGGGGAGATGACGGGCAGGGGGGAAGTAACTGCAGAAATGCCGAGTGGTGGTGGTGAGCACGAGAGTGAAAGGACAGGGAAGAGAAGAATGGCGCGCGGAATGAAGAAAGCCAGTTTCCGCCACACAGGGTTCTTCGCGCAAGCGAGGGTTTCTTGGCCCGCTCCAGAGACAGTGAAAGGGGCAAATGGGGGGAATTTATTACGGGAAACCGCAGAGGAAAGCGCGAAAACGCGGAGCAGAGCGGTCAAACTCCGCGAAGACGCGGAACAGAAGGGCAAAGAAGCACTGGTGCTGGTCACTCAAGCCCTGGTCTCAGACACAGCCCTAGCTCGTCGCACAGAAGAGAAAGGGAAAGGAAAGAATCATCGCTTCTTTTTCTGAGACAGCCTGTTTGTCAGCTTACAAGAAGCTGGTACATTCCATGAATGTTGTAGGTCTGCCTGTCATCCTCCCTTCGCGCTTCCAATACCTGCTACGTTTTCATACTTAGTCTGCCTCGACGACAGGCTTACCTCAAATTACAACTGGGGGTAGCCGCTAACTAGCTTAGAGGTTTTGTTGATCGAGGGTTATCACAGTTCATTTCTTCGAGAACATTCTCGATTTCTGCAACAATGGAGTGTCTGAGAGTACCTTGCGAAGCTGTGTCGATTTCTCGCAGCGGGAATGCCGGGCTCTCACCTGCTGAGTTTGCCACACCTAAGGCAACTTTAGATCGCCAACCAAATAGAAGCCGGAAGTTCCTGAGTTTCAAAGGTTCCGCATTTCCTTCCATGCAATCCCCTGGTTTCTCCAACGACTCCAATTTCGCAAGAGATGCAGTGGGTTCATCATCCTGGCCTATGTCCGTCCCAGCAATGTCTTCTCAGCCCAGGCATAGCAGCAGATGTCAACGATTTCCGCATTCTGCTCGTTTTTCTGAAGATCCGATCTGTTCGTTTCCTGACAACGACGACCTTGAAGCATCTCGGCTAGCATTGGCTCAGCTTGAGCGATCTTTCCTGGCGGAATCGTCGATTGGAATTGTGGAGTGTACCAGCAAGGGATGCAGACCCGTTCTCAGGCCATCATCTCCACCTGCTGCTGAACCGTCTCCGTCCTCTTCCGTCTCGTTTCCTTCAGCCTCCGCCTCGTCGCCATCAACCCACCCTACGACTTACCCACTTAGCTCATTAGCTACTGGCGCTGCGTGCATGGAGGAACGAGCTGCGACTTATCACCGGCATCAGGAACAGCGACAGGCCGAAGTGTCGGGCCGGCCAAGTCTTAAGACAGAGTTTGCGGAATTCGTAAATGAAGTCTGGGTGGAGCCTTCGACGGCGGATAAATATTACCGGTCGGCGATGCGGCAATCTCCGTACGATATCCGGTTACTGACAAGTTACGCACAGTTTTCGTGGAAGCAGCTTCACGATAAGGATCAAGCAGAGAATCTGTATCAGAAGGCGATTCAAGAGTCTCCAGATAACTCCGACGCGCTCGCTAGTTACGCGCTTTTCTTGTGGGAAAGTGAAAGCGAGAGCGAAGGGGAGCTGGACGCAGTGCAAAAGGCAGCAGTCATGACATCAGCGTAACTCAAATGGGTTCAGCAAAAGTTACCTCTGCTATGTCGGATCGTACATTTCTAGCTGCCCCTTTCGCGGAAGGGGCATCTTAGTAGGTAGAGCATGCCTGCTCCCTGTTGCTTAACTTATAGGCAGCGGATTCTGGTTTGAGAGTTGTCAACGAGTTTCTGAATACCTCTATTGACTCACTAGTAATGTCCATTGCCAGAACTTGTTAACTTGATGTCATGCTAATTCCAAGGATTTGTGGTGGAGGTGCGTTTTTGCCATGGTGGCCTTCCCCATGTTTGCTGTGATGCTTTACAAACAAGTTTAGAGTGTCTGACTGAACCAGTGCAAGTGGCGGTAGTACCTGAATAGCATGCACTGCAGAGGAGTGGGTTGCCCCATGTGTGACCAAATGACATCCTTTCTTAACTCCAAATACGAGAACTCAAAAACAAGCAGCGTCTTTCACACAACACCCTTTGATCCTCTCCCAAACCCTAATCATTTGTCTCCCCTCTCTGACACTCCTTCCCCCCCGCATCACTCCTCCCTTGAGCTCATCTCCAATAAACCCGGCTCTCCTCTTCGAATACGCCTCACAACAGACCTCCCGAGAGCAAACGCTGCAAGAACACCAGCCAGGCGCAGCAAATGGCCTCCTTGCCTGCGTGCCCGCCCGCCCCTTCCCCTCCCCGCACCACGAACTGCTTCGTTATGGCCGTGCAAACTCATGCTCCCCACACCATTCCCCTCGTCCTCCCCCAGGCTCTGCCTCAACCCCTCTTCACTACCTCCTTCCAAACGCCTCTGATCACCACTCCCGTCGCCTTCCAACTCCTCATTCCGCTCAACCGCCACCTGCTGCGCGCCAGCTCGTGCCACCTCATGCTGCCTGCGATCACTGCTGCCTCTTGGGTTGCCAGCTCCAACCAAAGCCTGCTCCCCATCCCCTCCTCCCACAGGCGGCACGCCAGCTCTTGTCGCGCCATTCTGCTGCTGCTCACTGCCTCTTAGGCTGTCAGCTGCAAATGAATCCCGCTCCCGCTCTCCTTCTACCGCACGTGCCTCCCCCTCTTGCTGTTGCTCCACCTCATGCTCCCGCCCCTGCTCCTGCTCCTGCCTCTGTTGCTGCTCCCGAAAAGTCCCATCTGCTTGCACCTCTCTCTGCTGCCTCCTCTCCTGCAGCCCCTGCTGCTGCGGTTCCTGTTCCCGCCACCCATCCGCCCCCCCCTCTCCCTGCCACAGCCCTGCTTCCCCCCCCTCCCCCTGCCGCTGCCCCGCTTCAGACCCCTCTCTCTGCTGCCGCCTAACTTCCTCCCCCACCCCCTGCGACCGCCCCGTTTGCTCCTGCACCTGCTCTCGTAACCTCCTCCGCTCCTCATACTCCTCATCATCAGTGGGCAGTTCAAACCGGCAGATGGGGCACGAGTTTCTCACGGCAAGCCATTGCCGAATGCACCCCCCGTGGTACAAGTGCCGGCACGGCAGCCTCACCACCTCCTCCCCCACCTCCGCCACCTCCTTACACACCGCGCAGCACGACGCGCCGCTCTCCACGTCCTCCAATCTCACGGCGACAGCTGGCAGCGCGTCGACCGCGGACAGCGCCGCTGGGGGATTGCCGCGTTGCTGGGCGTCTGCCGCAAGAAGCTGGTCGAGAAAAGCGTCTAAACCAGGGCCGTCGAGATAGTCTCCTCGGTTACCAAAGTCGCCTCGGTTGCCAAAGACGATGGTGGTGGTTGTGACTCCGTCTGAATCCGTGGTGGCAGCACCCGCGCCTAAGAAGCCAGCAGGTTCGGCAGCAGCAGGTCCGTCGCCCCAGTGTATCCCAGCCTCGAACCCAGCCCCGCCAAACGCCAGCCCACCAGCACCACCACCACGAACACCAGCACCATACAAACGGCCACCCCCACCACCACCACCAGCACCGCCACCAGCACCACCAGCACCACCAGCACCGTCGGCAGCACCAGCACCCCCACCGCCATCAGCACCAGCAGCAAGGCTGCCGTCAGCATTGACAAGGCGGCCGCGGCGAAGGCTGAACTCCACATGCACGGAGGGCCCAACCAGCTCCTGCATGAGCTGCTGCAGGCGCCGCTCCAGCCCCACCTCCAGCCGCAGCAGCGCCTGCTGCTGAGCTGCTCTCAGCCGCCTCAGCAGCCCCGCTCCCCTGTCCTCTGTGGGCTCGGCTACAAACGCCTGTGCCTCTCCCTCACGCGCCTGCCTCTCGCGCTCTTCTCTCTCGAACACTTCTCTCTCGGATGCTGCTCTCCCAGGTGCTTCTCCTCGATCCCTCTCGCCTCGAACCCTCTCGCCTCTCTCCCTCTCGCCTCTCTCCCTCTCGACTCTCTCCCTCTCGACTCTCTCCCTCTCGCCCTGCTGCACAGCAGGAATTGCTCCCTCGACCTCCTGAAAAGGTGTCATGAACACTGGTGCAGCTCCTTCAAGCCGTGCCATTTCTGCCGCTTGTGCTGCGGATAGCGGTCCTGACAACAAAGACGCAGACGACGCTGACGCGGATGCTGACGTGGATGCTGACATGGATGCTGACGTGGATGATGACGACGACGCTACTGCTGCTGATCCCGACCCCGCAGCTGCAGCAGGGGCAGGAGACGATGACGTGGAGGATGCAGGAACAGCCCTCTGCAAGTTGGCTCGCCCTGAACCCCCCTCCCCCGCCTCCCTTCCCTCCCTCCCTTCCATCCCCACAATCCCCTCCCTCCCCTCCCCGCCCTCCATCCCCTCCAGCCCCTCAAGCCCAGTAACATCACTTCTCAAACCAGTCCCTGCCAAACCCCCTCGCCTCACCCCTCGCCGTCCGCGCCTGCCCCGTGCGCTGTTAAAGCCAGACGCCAGCCTCTCAACGCCCATGCGAAACAGAGGCACGCGCGCCCTCCCTCCCACATGCTCCTCCTCTTCGTCGCTCCATCCCCCCTCTCCTTCCTCCTCCTCCTCCCCATCCTCCTCCTCCCTTTCCGCTTCCTGTCCTTCTCCCTCCGCCTCCCCTTCAAGGCTAGACCACGAGCCTCCTATTTCCAGCAACAGCCCCTCCAGTTGTCTTAGAGTGCTAAGAAAGTGATCCGCCGCCCAATTCCCGCGGTTCCTGCGGCCTGGGATCCGATTCTCTGCCTCCCTCTCCTCCATCTCGTACTCGCTATCGTCACTCTCGCTGTACTCGCTATTGTCGCTCTCGTCGTGCTCGTTATAGTGACGGCCCCTGACGCCCGGGGTCTGATTCTCTCTTTGCCACCACCTTTCCTCTACCTCGTTTTCCTCGTCCTCGTCGTACTCGCTATGGTCACTCTCGCTAGTACCACCGCCAAAGCTGCCACTGGTAAGTGCTGGCAGTTCATCCTCGCTTGCTGCCGCTTCATTTTCATTCAGAGGCCTCGTTTCAGGCACATCCGTTTCTGTCACACGCATTTCAGTCACACCCGTTTCAGCCACATCCGGTGACGTGCTCGTACGAGGCGATACAAGATCCGGCAGCTCACTTTCCTCAACTTCCGCTACCGCTTCTTCCCCTGCTTCAATCACACCCGTGAGTGTCGCATCATCGAACCACAATGCCTCTTCAGCTTCCCGACCGTCTTGACTTCGAGACTCATCCCCATCCTGACCCCCGTACCCATTCTCCCCTCTTTCATCCCCGCGACCATAGACCCCACCGCCTCCATCCCTAATCCCATGATCCCCACCGTCTTGAATCTCGTTGTAGTCACAATCTTCAGGGTCGCTGCAAAGGTCCGGCATATCGTCGTCGTCGTCCTCCTCGCCTTCAGTCGCTTGAATTCGAGGTCGCAGTTCAGTCAAACCCGTTTCAGTCGCACCCGCTTCTGACGCAGTCACTAATGCTGATGCTGCTTCTGATGCCGATGTCGATGCGGATGCTGCTGCTGCTTCCCAAGTATCCCTTCGTGCAGTGTCAACCCCGTTATTATCACCTACGCTTTCATCATCATCTCTTCCACTCAGACGCCTTTCGCATCTTCCAGCTCGCTGTGAGCCGTCCATTCTTTCCCGGGGAAAATAATGCGAGGAAGGAAAAGCTGCTTGCTGACACGTATAAGTGCAATCTAGTGCCACCAGCTCTGCCAAACCGCTTCCTACGCAATCAACATCGATAACATACACGCTAAGGCAACGGTTGCACGCGCTCGGAATGCTTCGAAAGGTCACTATACTAGTTGACGTCTAGGAAAACAATGGACAAGGACTATTTTTTAGAACGAAAATGGACTGCAATCAGATGACCACGAGGATGATCGTCAATAGATTGGGATCTTGGAAGGCACTTCTTCACAGTAGCCTACCTAAACCGTACAACAACCGTTTGCAAACCTGTGTTTTGTATACCAACATATTAGAACGCTCTTGTTCACTTGACTTGTTCAGCAATCTTGAATCTGTTTTGGAAGCACTGGGCTGGTCACCGCACTGTAATCCGCAGGACCTAGCTAGCTTAGAAATACTTGATGCTATAGTAGAGACATGAATAATACAAGAAATTAACAATATTCACTACCCTATGATTTCTTCCTGCTAGATTGAGTGTTTGGCCTCCAGGAAACGTATTAGAAGGAATGCTGGTAGGTTAATCATAGCGTAGCAGCAATATATATACTAGTTCTGTACGTACAGTGGCACTATAGCAAACATGCTGATAAAAAAGCAACTAGCTGTTTCAGTCCATTTGTTTTCCAGATCTTCCCGAGTCGTTTTCGGAAAACCAAGTCTGCCCAACCCAGTGTGATGATGAGCCCCCGTTGGTCCAGGCCAGCTCATCCTCACCATCGAGAATCTCAATTCAGCCCGTTTTCGCTGCGATGGCGATCATCCAGGGTCTGTGACAGCGTTCGCGGTAGCCCCAGATTCTTTCGCCACTGCCCTGCGCTTATCGTGCGACTGTCCGTGCATGACGCCCAGCGTGTGAATGCGGGCAGGACGGGCAGAACGGATGGGTTGTACAGTACTGTCAGAGCCTTGGAGAGCGAAACAAAACCCTCGCCACGTCCTTTCGGCACGACTCGCGGGAGTCCTTCGAAACCCTCGCCGCAAGTGCGAAACCCTCGCTAGCTGCTATCCACCTCTCGCCTATCCCTTTTTCAGACCCTCGCCAGCTCGTCTCGGACAGAATGAAACCCTCGCCAACCCTTTCCTCCCCTCGCCAATCCATGTCTCCTTCGCCTGGTTCTTTGCCTCCCCTCATCCCCAGCAATCCTTCATTTCGCCTTCCTTGTCTCTTTCTTTCGCGTAGTCTCTCGCGCGTTTCGCCCACCTTTCTCGCCCCAGCCAGCGAAGAAAACAACCCTGGTTTTGGCTCTCCCCCCTGCTCGCCCAGCCTGGCGTCGCTAAACTCAGCCATGGCGATTCGTTTCTCCCCAGAGGAGCTCAAAGGGGAGCTTCTCAGGGTGAGGCGTGAACTTGCTCATTTGGATACGCTTTTGGATCGGACTTTCAGGGACATAGAAGCTGCCAGTGAACATGGCGAGAGGGACCGCATGGAAGATGCGAGAAATGTGCGACAATGCCTGTGGAAGGATAAAGAGCAGCTGAGATCACAAGAGACTATATTTCTGAGGCTTTTATTCGATCCAAATTCTGTTGGTGGAAATCCTGCGGAAAATGGAGCGCCGTCTGCGGGCGCTGGCTTCCCGCCTCAATACTCCGTTGATGGTAAGGCTTTTTTTTGTATGCTTAGCTAATTTGTTTTTGTGTTTTGTTGGTGGCATCTAACTATTCTGTTGTTAGATTTGTGCAATGCCATTATTATTCGCTACGTAGCGCTGATTATTGTTTGTGTTTCACTTTTCTCTTGCGACAGGTTCGCCGATGCCGATTATGGGTCATGGAGATCCTTCGCGGATGCTCCACTCGGTATTCACACCGCCGTCGATGCTCGGAGTTAAGCCGGGGAAGATGAAGATGCGACGCAACAAGCTCGCTTCACCCGGCCTGCCATCGTCCATGTCTGACGGAAAGTCTCCATCTGGTTTTGAATCCGACTTCGCTAATCCAAACGGTTACGAAGTTAATCGAAGCGCGGAGTGCAAAGTTCGCGACGTCTGGCTCGAGTGGAAGGAAGGTCTGAATGGTTTCCCGTCGATCGAGAAGCTTGAAGAAGAGAGGAAAAAGGACCGGAAGAAAGTCTGGTGGAAGAATATGAACGACTACAAATACTGGAGCAAGCAGGTCGGTACCGTTGGTCGCTGTTCGTTTTTTATCCTGGACCAGTAAATGTTGCATAGTATGGCACTGTCGCTGTCTACATCCTGACTCGTTTTCCTTTTCTGGTTCTGCAGATGAGAATTGTTCATGCTGTCGAAGAAAAGGCTCGCGAGCTTGGAGGGGATCTTGACTCCAGCATCAATTTCTGGGAGGACATTCTTCGCGAGGAATTCGACGGGAGCGTCTCGAAGCTTCGTGAAGCTTTAGGAGGCCAAAAGACGAACGAAGAAGACATTGGCCGTTTCAAGAAGCGATGCCGGGATTTGTTGCAAAAGGGTTTGCTTCGGATGGCTAAGAAGAGACAGATGACGCACCAGCAGTCTGATCCGCATCATGCTCACCAGCAGCAAGCCTTGCATCAGCAGCAGCTGATGGAAATGCAGCAGCAGACTTACACTCAAGCTGTTCAGGGCGACATGGTTCACATGGCAGGCATGGGTATGCCACACGATCCCAATGTTCTTCCGAAGCACGAAGCCCAGCACGAAGTTTCACAGCAGCAGGTTCTGGAAGAAAACATGTTACACGAAGCAGCTGCTGCAGCAGCAGCAGCAGCCGCGGCGCAGGGTCAGCTAGATAACAGTGTGCTGCTTATGCAGGAAGCGCATGGGCTGCAGCAGATGGCTGGCGAAGGTCAGGCGGTGATGCAGGCACATGGCGAGGAGCAGCTAGAAGACGCTCAGGAACAGCTGCATCAGCAGCAGCAACAGCAGCAAGAGCAGATGCGGCAAATGCATGAAAATCAGCTAATTGCTGCTTCCATGCATGCTGCCCAGGCGCATGCTGAGGGGGAGGAGGAGCATGGGGAAGAGCAGCATGGGGAGGAGGGGGAGGAGCAGATGCATGGGGATCATGGAGAGGTGGAGGAGGGTGATGAGGAATTAGAAGGGGAAGGTAGGGGGGAAGAGGGGGAGGGGGAGGAGGAGCATGTGTGAGTGGTTGGGATGGTGTGGTAGGTGCACTGCTGGTGCCTTACATGCCTTCGCCACAACCTAGATACCGGTAATATGTTTTGTGTGTGTTTCCTCCAAAAAGTAGTTATCATACTACGGTAGTTGTGTTTTGGAATAATGTCGAGGAAATTGTGGGAACAAGTACTGGTACAGCAATTGCTCTGTACTGTACGTAATACAAGTACAGACAAAACAGTTATAGTTATGTACATACATCACTTCACTATTCAGTGCCTTAGATACAGCAGAGCTACGGTAGATGCTTCATTTCCATCAACTGTACATCATCAGCCTACAGACTACCAGTGCCGGTATGTCCCTCTTTCAACATTCCCCATACATCCACAACCCCTGCAGGGAACGAGTGCTCTGTTGCTGCTCTGACTGCCACAGAGGCAACAGCCGAGACAGGAACAGGAGGCACTAGAGCTGGGCCGATCAGGGGCAGGCGAGAGAGGAAGGACAGGTTCTTGAAAGGCCTGGGAAGAGGACAATAATCAGGAAAGGTGACAGGGGAGTGGGGCAAGGGGAGAGGAGAATAGAGAATGTAAAAGAGACAGTCGAGTGAACCCTTTGTCAGGCTGTGGGCCGGGGTTAATGAGACAGAGTGGCTGGCAGCACAAATTGGTCAAGGCCTGGAAGCACTCTTACAATTTCCAAGGGAGCTCCGATCAAGCTGAGAGGAAGTTGGTAGGCGCCAACTCTGCGGGTGCCGTGAATCATGGCTGGCCGGAGGACAACTCCTGCGAAGGAATCAGAAGAGAAACGAGGGGGGGGGTGCGGAGGCATGGGGGGGGGGGGGGGGTGCGGAGGCATGGGGGACAACAGATCGGTAAGTGAAGAATTGCAAACACTGCAAGCGCCATGAATGATGGCTCGCCGGAGGACAACTCCTGTGAAAGAATTGAAAGGGATGTTGGGGAGGCGGGTAGGTGGAGAGACACGGGGGCGAGTGGGAATTTGGCAAGGAGAAAAGGACTGCATCCAAGGCACGTGTACAGAATGGAAAAAGGACTTTTTCTGTAAATGGGAGGAAGAGGGCATGCATGCCTGTGCTAAAATGAAAGAACACCAACCACGATCCACCAGCCATGAGGCATGAGGCATGAGGCATGGGGTATGTGAGGCATGGGGTATGATGCATGAAGCATGAGGCATGAGCAGGCGCATACCTGTGTTGGGGTAACTTGCCATGACAGCTGCCTCTGCCGCTTTCTGAAGCACATTAAAAGCAATATTGTGCAGCAGTCTAAGCAGGTGCTGCAGTCTAAGCATGTGCAGGCACATACCTGTGTTGGGGTAACTTGCCATGACAGCTGCCTCCGCCGCTTTCTGAAGTATTGGGGACAAGCGGAGGGAGGGAGGGAGGGAGGGAGGGAGGGAGGGAGGGAGGGAGGAAGGGAGGGAAGGGGAAAGACAAGTGCTCGCTGCATGTGCACTGCGTTTGTAGATTGAAACTGTAACTTGCGCTGCAAATTTGTAGCATTCATCTGCAGTGTACAGCTGCACTGTATATTTGCACTGTACACTTTCACTGTACATTTGCACTGTACATTTGCATGCACTGTATATTTGCATGGTACCTTGCCCTCGTAGTATCCCCTGAGCACGAAAGCAGGCAGCCCCACATCATGAGCAGAGATGAAGACAAACCTCGCCACCCCTGCCAGGGAAGGAATAACCAAAATTATTATTGAAGTGCCTAAATATTGGATAGCCCCCACAGAGACAAAGATGGGGAAAATACATTCACTTCAAAATGGGAACCAACAAATCCCCTTGCTCAATTTTTACACCAAGAAAAAATAAAACTACGCCTGAAATAACGCAAGACAAATGCTGCCTTCCCACTAGCTGCCAGACCAACCCACCTTCCTCTCTTGCTGCATTAACCACGCCCACGTTGGCATCTCCGTTGATCCTCCTCATCCACTCATTCGACCCAAAAGCGCCCACACACGACACCTGCCGACGAGGCAAGAAGGAAGAAGACCAAAAAGAAATGGGAACAAGAGCGAACCATTCTGTATCCCTTGTGACCACCATATGAACGTGACTGAGGGGCCCACTTGTGTCCTGCCCCCTTGCAACCCATACACCTGCGCTGCTGCCAGGACACACGGGTCCTTACACCTGCGCTGCCACCCCACACACGCCCATTCACTCACCACTCCCGTGGCCCCTTGCAAGTGCTGCTTCCACGAAGAGGGGTTCAGTGCGTCGCCTGGATGGAAAGAGAGGGGCGAAAAGGGGTGGAGAGGGGTAAGAAAGAGTGAGGAGGGGGTACAAGGTGATCAGGAGGAGTGGGGAGGGGCGAGGCGGGGTGCAGAAGGTTTCAAAGGGGTACACAGGCGTTTGAAGAGGTGAAAGGAGCTATGATGCTGTGGAGAGGGTTGCAAAGGAGTTGGAAGGAAATGAGTTGAATACTGTGACTGAAGAAAAATGAGGGAGCTAGACTTTGAGACTAGATAAAAATTAGATGTCACCTTTGATCCACTCAACCTCCTTAATCCACGCTTCACTGCGACTGGGCTGCCCTGATCTGATGCATGCACGCACACATGGCCACATGCACACATGCACGCATGCACACATGCACGCATGAACTCGCGCATGCATGCGTAAATGTACACACGCAAGAATACAAACAAGCACACATGACGAACCACAAAAACGAAGACAAGAACACTCTAACCACCTAAGCAATTTTACAATCGTTTACTCCACACACACCCCTCTCACTAAATCGCACCCACCCTCACCGATTCATACCCACCCTCACCGATTCCCACCCACTCTCACCGATTCACACTCGCCACCTCAATCCCCCGGCCAATGGCGTTGCGACAGATGGCGCTGCCCACGAAGCCGTTACCACCCATCACCACAATCTGACGGAGATGGGGGAGGAGTTGAGTGGGCAAGGAGTAGAGGATGGTGTGAGGGAATGAGGTTGGGGGGGGGCGGGGGGGTGAGGGGGTGAGTAAGGAGGTAAGGTGAGGATCTGGCGGAGGTGGGGGGGAATGGGAAACAGAAGGTGGTAAGCCAGGAAGGTTGCAAGTGGGGAAGGTGGTACCGGGGGACTGATGTGAAGAGCTCGGGCTCAGAAAAAAGCTCCTCGCCAATTTGAGAAATGATCCGCGCTGACTTTCTTAGTCAGGCTCGAAAGTCATCCAGAAAACCGCTTCGCCTTAAACACATCTGGTACGCGAGCAGAAATTGAAAAAAGCTCTACCTACCCGAGACCGTTGCTCCGTGGTGCTTCTTTCCGCTTCTCTCCCCCCCATCTGCGCCGGGCGCGCGCTGCTTTCCCCACCTGCCTCCGGGGAATTGCCTTCTCCCGACGCCGCCGCTCCGTGAAACTCGCGGGTTCCCGCCGCGGTTATGAGTGCGCCGCGGTCGGCGCCGTGGACAGAGCCATGCGTGCTCATCGCACCAGCCGCGCTGATGGTGCGACAGAGGGACTGACTCAACGCGATCGGCTTGCATGAACGAGCGGAAATCACGGCAACGGCCATGCTCCCTTTCGCAAGCGAAATGAAGCGCCCTATGAAAAAAACAGGAGGAGAGTTTCACTACTAATTAGCACTTCAAGATCAAAGCAGACCGAATTCGGGAACAATGGAGGCTTTCAGATTCTTTTGTGGGAGGCAATTCGCACAAGTCTAAAGGAGTTTTAGTCTCGCAAATGCGCCCCGCGTGTATCCGCACCACCGCATGTAAACTGATGTGGACGATGCTGATTGATGCAAATTGATTGGCGGGGTGCCGCAATCTGTGGCTGGAGTGCGCGATACGTGGCGCTAAACATTGTCCGCGATTGACACCTACCACGATGTAAGGCAGGACTTCCGAGAATGGACTAGAATCCCAGTACATTACAGGTTGAAGTGTAAAACGCCCGACGATATTGCTTGCAGACTGAGAACTTCCCTTGTAATCAATCAGCCAATCTCTCTAGCCGCAGCATACATTGAAGGGAATACAACATAGGCACTGCTCTTTTTCATAAAACTTCGCCTTCCAATGCATGCCGACTAAAGCAAAGCTTGTAAGCAGGATTCTTAGTAAATTGACAGCCTATTTTGACATCCTTTAGATGTTGCTGGGGTAGAGGAACACACGCACCCTGCGGCCCTGTAAAACAAAGAAAACAAACGCAAGGGGGGAGAGGGGGGTCGTAAAGGGGTAATAATGGGTAAGGGAGACAGGGAAGAGTCTGAGATTCAGCTGAGGGAAGCATGGGACTGCTGAGACAGGGAAGGAACACTCAGGCATAAATATTTCAACAGCTTCCCCCTAGCCCATAGCTGCCACAACTGCAGCACACAAAATAACAAGCAAACTTTAAATGGGGGAAAAAAAAAGTATACAAGGCACCATGGAGGTGAAAGCAAGGTCTTTCAAAATTGGTGCAAACCACCCCAGTCTCATCATGCAAGACAACCCTGCCCGCCAAGGTCACACCATCAAGTAGCCCACCCGCTACAATCACACCCTCATACAACCTGCACGTCACAACAACCACACCTTCCGACACTCACTGCAATGCAGGGCAGTTCTTCTTGCATGTAGCAATCACAGACTCGCGCAGACCACCCCGGTGTTTCCGTCTGGCCGTGTGACGCAGCCCCACATGGAGCAGTGGAGGCTGCCGTTCCTCACAGCACGCTCCACCCAACCCCACCCATCCCAACCGCACTCCACCGCAACTCACCGTGGCGGTGCAGGGCAGGTTCTTCTTGAACTTGGCGCGGACGACCCCGGTGTTGCCGTGCGGGCGCGTGACGCGGCCCCACATGGAGCGGTAGAGGGAGCCGTTCTTGAGCGTCTTGGCCTTGTAGATGTAGACGATGCGCTTGCCCAGGTACCACTGGCTCTCCTCCTTGCTCTGCACGTTCTCGATCTGCAGCAGCGACGTGTGCTCGTGCACGTTCGACTTGCCTCTGCGGAGGAGGGGGTCGGAGGGAGGATCGGCGCACGGGGGCAGGACGTCCCGGGGTGGGTGGAGGAGGAGGAGGGGGGGGGAGCAGGGGCAGCAAGGAGCATGTTCGACTTGCTTCTAGGGATGGGAGTGGTAGGGAGGGAATTTGAAAAGGTAGTCGAAAAAAAGACAAGACGTCTGCTCGTGCAACTTTCTACTCGCCCTCAAGAAGGAGGCAGAGAACGGAGTGAAGGGTGCCGGAGGGGTGGCGAGGGGTGGGGGTAAGGGAACAGGGTAAGGACATGGGTTTGACCTAATTTCGTGGTGATTGCGAACCGCGTTGAGAGTAACCATTCCACCTCTTATGGCTCAACAATGGTGCCCGTAATGGCGCCCCACGGGCCCTCCAAATACTCGATGAAAAGAGTAGAGGTTCGTCAACTCTATACCCGTTATAGACAACGAGCAAGGATCTCACCTCTTGTGGCCCAGCACCACAGCCCGCACGTAGAGTCTGCAATCGCAGTGCAGAATGCGACAGATGCGACAAATGCGACAAGGAAGGTAGAAGGGGAAGGGAGAAGGGGAATTGGGAAAGGGAGTGGGGGGGAGGGGGAGGGATGAGACGGAATGCGGTCAGGATGAACATGGAACAGTGATTCAGCATAGACGGCGCAAACGAGAAATCTAGTGTTGTCGATGGTAGGAAACCCAACGACTCGCCCGAGGTGAAAAGCTTAGGGGTTCGAGAACGGTGTTGCGGCTTGACAGCCAAAGAGGTGAGCCGACGGTTGCAGTTTCCGCAGAACTCGAGGTCCTTCCTCATCTACTACATCAAGCTGTTAGGCTGTTACCCAGAACGGTCGCGTGTATCTGCAACAATTGCAAATAATATCGAAAAAAAACTAGGGTTTCCACAACCCTTGGGTTCTGAAGACTGCTACTTCGATTGTCCAGTGACCTAGAAGTCAACGCTTCCGACCCCGCCTGAGATTTGTAATAACGAATGCGCGCACGAAGGATCGTCGGATCTTCTGTAAGAGCAGCATCCTTGAAGGCACTCGCTATCTAGTAAAGCAACGCAGCTTGGTTACAAGCGCTGCGAGAAGGTCCAAATCAGCTTCTTCGTGGCCTGAAATGTCTGTCCCATACCAAGCACCTCGGGCGAAAGGATCAGAATAATATCGGCCGATATCGGTCCTAAAGCGCAAAGCTTCTCCAATCTGAGACCTGTAAGTCCCCATTCGCCACCCTGGATCCATCCAGCTGCTTCTTAGACTACATTTAGGTCAACTAAACACCATCTGCGTCCATCCCTGTACCTAAAAACATACATACGCTGGAACTTTATACGGTTTAAAGGTCGGAAATCGACGCTACCGGTCTTCGCGCCAGGGGACTATCCGCCTTACGAATACTCGCTCCCCGCAAAATACGACCTCCCGTGGCGAGACAACTACTGCGAAAACATATTAGCTTCGAGAAATATGCATACCGTGGGGAGTTCTCCTTCTTCGTCATGGCGCCGTGTGAGGTGGGAGGGGAGACGGACTGCGAAGCAACAAAAGGTGCGCTAGGGCACAGCTAGGCAAACCAAGAGTTAGGGAAAAGGAGGGAAGGAATGGAGGTTCTTAGACTAAAACCCTCGGAGAGTTGCGAGGGAAGAGAGCGGCGAACAGGAAGATCGGGGGAGGGGAGGGGAGGTGGGAAGGAAGTGTTGCGGGGATGGCGGAACCGGGGGAGAAACTCGCGGAAAGGCGGGGGATAGAGTCTGGTGTCAGGGGAAAGAGTGTTGCGGGGAGCGGGGAGGGGGGAGGGGGGAGTGGGAAGGGGGGCGCGCGGAACTAGCGGGCAATGATCGGGGGAGGGCTTGGCTGACAGAGGAAGTTGGCTGTAGAAGGTTTGGAAAGAGCTCGTAGCGAAGCGTCGAATGTCGCAGCATTTCATGACATCTGAACAAGAGAAGCTTATCATGGTAGTGTAAACAGAATGAACCCAAACTGGGATCTGTAATAGCACTGCATCTAGTCGTGAGTTGGCTAATAATCAGCACTTCTGATCCATCTCTGAAATCCATGTCACTGCCATGTGTCGAAGCAGCTGCTTCGGATGACGTGATTGACGTGTCAGTGACATATCTGCCCTTCCAGGACGCTTCAAACCTCTCACATCGCGATCCGCAACCGTCCGATTGACCGACGTGGAAACCGCTATGTAACCTTCAGAAGCGCTTCGCGACAGACGCGACAGCAGCAACCTTCAGTCTGTCACCTGACGAAAAACACAGGCTTCTTCGCGCACTCGTTACTGAATCTCGCCACAGATGTAGTTTTTCGGTGATCCCAATGCTGATCGGTCGGACATTCCTGACCAGAGATCCGTTTCCTAGGAGAAACAGCAGACCCAGGAATCTCTGATCTCTGGTCTATTTACTTATCCACTGCTCTTTATTTCTTCCTCCATCCAGACTCCCAGCCTGCTTTTCTGCTGCTCCTGCATTTTAGCTGTTTTTCTCCAGCGGGATTGCCAGCCTAATCTTGGCTCCTAGCACCTTCATTCTTCTCTTTTTAAATCTCTGTTGATTTTTAAAGAGCAGTATAAAAGCGGACATGGGTGTCCTCGCAGCTGTCGCTTCTTCCACAAACGTCGCCGCTGCTGCAATGGCGACCAAGATCTCCGCCAGCCGCGCCGCCTCCGTCGCTGCCGGCGCTGCGAAGATCATCCCAACTGCTCAGTTCGCGAAGCTCGCCAAGTCATCGTTCGCCGGCCAGTCCCTGGGCTGCGCGGTCGCTAACGCCGACGTGGCGCTGCACGCCGAGCCCAGGGCCAGGAGCATTGTGACGGCTGCAGCTGACGGCGATGCCGCCGGCGCCTCCTCCGGAGGCGGTCTGCGCGTCGATCTCCGCGGTGCGTGTGCAGTTGGCCTGCAGGCAAACTAGAGTAGATCGTAACTTACAAATTCAAAAAAACAAATAACGTAGGTGTTATAAAGACAAGTATCGACCGCTCACCTTGCACGTGGCCCACTAACCGATTCTCATGACTTAGATCTCGTGGCCTTCAAGCGCGCATTCATCGCGGGCGTGGCGGACGATCAGGGCTTCGGGTGGGCCATCGCATCTCCCCAACCCAACCTCCTCCCTCCTCTCCCCACCCCCTCTTCCCTCCACTCCCCCCTTTCCCCCTCTCCCCCCAGGCAAGCGCGCGTTCATCGCGGGAGTGGCGGACGACCAGGGTTTCGGGTGGGCCATCGCGAAGCACCTCGCGGAGGCGGGCGCGGAGGTGCTCGTCGGCACGTGGGTGCCGGTGAGTCGATCGCATTGAACTTGCTGGACTAGACTAGAATCGTCTCGGTTTGGGTTTTTTTGTTCTACACACTCCAAAAAAAAACCTGGCGGAGGCGGGCGCCGAGGTTCTCGTGGGCACGTGGGTGCCGGTGAGTACTAAGTTTGCGTTCACGTGGACACGTGGGTTCCGGGGTACAGCGGCACCCACGAGGGTAGTAGACTTCAGAAGCACCTCGCGGAGGCGGGCGCGGAGGTGCTCGTCGGCACGTGGGTGCCGGTGAGTCGATCGCATTGAACTTGCTGGACTAGACTTGAATTGTCTCGGTTTGGGGTTTTTTTTTCTTACACACTCCTAAAAAAAACTGGCGGAGGCGGGCGCCGAGGTTCTCGTGGGCGGCGACTACGATTTGCATATGGGGGGGGCGAATCATAGATTACGCAACCGCCGGTTCAGGCGCATCTATTTGCGCATTGACGCTGGTCATTTTAGCCGTGTTTTGGTGGTGACACCTTTTCTCCCGAAAGTGACCATAAGTTTCTACTCGTTTCACGGCAGACTCCTTTACAGCTTGCTTCGTTACAGGTTGCCTTATCCTTTGCTCTCCGTTTCTCCCATCCCATATGACTGCGACCATCTCATGGCAGGCTCTCTCCATCTTCGAGACCAGCCTACGGAGGGGCAAGTTCGACGAGTCGCGCAAGTAAGTCGTTGCTATTAAAGCCAAAAAACACCCGAATTCCACCCGTTGTGTTTGCGTTCAGTTCATTTCCGGTCCCCCCTCCCTGTGCGATCGCGTCTGCGCTACTGGCGTTGTGTGCTTACTTTTGTGAAGCTCGCTCCCGTCGCTTCGCCTTTCGCTCCCATCCCCCTCGCTCACTAATCAGGCTCTCTGACGGCTCGCTGTTCAACATCACCAAGGTCTACCCGATGGATGCCGTCTTTGACACGCTGGACGATGTTCCCGAGGAGATTCGCACCAACAAGCGCTACGCCGGGTCGTCCGGGTGGACTGTTGAGGTGAGTAAGAGCTGCTGGGTGCAGAGGGGTGGAGTGGGGTGACTGAGACGATTCCTGCCAGCATTGACACGCTGGACGATGTTCCCGAGGAGATCGCCACCAACAAGCGCTACGCCGGGTCGTCTGGGTGGACCGTGGAGGTGCGTCGTCCCTTGGTTTGGTTGCTGAAAGTTGCAGTTGAGTGGAGAGGGGTGCAGATGGGTGTGGGGTGCCTGGGGGGGGACATACCTACCAGCGTTGACACGCTGGACGACGTTCCCGAGGAGATTCGCACCAACAAGCGCTACGCTGGGTCGTCTGGGTGGACCGTGGAGGTGAGACGGAGAGACAAGAGTGGGTGCGGATGGGTGCAGTGCAGATGGGTGCGCATGGGTGTGCGCGGTGTATGGTGGGGACATCCCCACCAGCATTGACACGCTGGACGATGTTCCCGAGGAGATCCGCATCAACAAGCGCTACGCTGGGTCGTCCGGGTGGACCGTGGAGGTGAGCCGCCCCTTGGAGTGATGATTGTCAGGTGCTGAGGGGTGGAGATGGGTGCAGTTGGATGTGGGGTGCAGAGGAGATCCGCACCAACAAGCGCTACACCGGGTCGTCTGGGTGGACCGTGGAGGTGCGTCGTCCCTTGGTTTGGTTGCAGAGGGTGCAGATGAGTGGAGAGGGGTGCAGATGGGTCTGGGGTGCCTGGGGGGGGACATTCTTACCAGCATTTACACGCTGGACGATGTTCCCGAGGAGATTCGCACCAACAAGCGCTACGCCGGGTCGTCTGGGTGGACCGTGGAGGTGAGCCGGTAGTTGTGCAACAGTGAGTGGAGATGGGTGGAAATGGGTGGAGACGGGTGCACAGTATGGGTAGAGGGGTGCAGAGGAGATCCGCACCAACAAGCGCTATGCCGGGTCGTCCGGGTGGACTGTTGAGGTGGGTGTAGATGGGTGCTGATGGGTGCTGATGGGTGCTGATGGGTGCTGATGGGTGCTGATGGGTGCTGATGGGTGCTGATAGGTGCAGGTGATAGGCATTGCTCATGGATGAGGGATGCAGAGGAGATCCGCACCAACAAGCGCTTTGCTGGGTCGTCTGGCTGGACCGTGGAGGTGAGAGAGTGGGTAGGGCAAGGTGGGTGGAGATGGGTGCAGATGGGTTCAGGTGATAGACAGTGCACCAACAAGCCCTTTGCTGGGTCGTCCGGGTGGACCGTGGAGGTGAGAGGGAGGGAGGGCTGTGTGGTACAGTGTGTACTGTGGAGCGTGAACGAGAACTTGTGATTGAACGGATGAAACCCACCCCCGCCTGCTTCTCACCTTCCCCTCCCTCTCCCCCTCAATGCCCTCTTCCCTTCTCAATCCCCTCCCTTCACATTTCGCCAGGAAGTAGCGGCGAAGGTGAAGGCGGATTACGGGTCGATCGACATTCTCGTGCACTCGCTGGCCAACGGACCCGAAGTGACCAAGGATCTGCTCGACACGTCCCGCAAGGGGTACCTGGCCGCCATCTCCGCCTCCTCCTTCTCCTTCATCTCGCTCGTGCAGCGCTTCGGCCCCATCACCAACGCAGGTACGGAGCACAGCCACCAGCCCAGGTAGAGATGTGTGCACCATTCTCCCCTGTGAGCTGTTGTGTGGGCACGTGTTGCAAGGGGTGGGGGGGAATGGGAAGCACGGGGCAGGGAGCAAGCAAGGGGTACCTGGCCGCCATCTCCGCCTCCTCCTTCTCCTTCATCTCGCTCGTGCAGCGCTTCGGCCCCATCACCAACGCAGGTATGGAGATCATTTGTTGTCACTTTAGTGCGCAGAGATCTTTCCCCCTTACCTCCACTCCCTCCCTCCCCATCCCCTTCTTTCTCCCCCTCTCCCAATTCCTCGCTCCCTGACCATTTCCTTGGTCCACTATCTCTCCCCTCCCCATCTCCCCTCCCAGGCGGGTCTGTCATCTCGCTGACCTACATCGCATCGGAGCAGATCATCCCCGGGTATGGAGGCGGCATGAGCTCCGCCAAGGCTGCTCTCGAAGGTGACCCTAACCCTCCCGTTCTCCCTCTCCCCCCTCCCTGCTGATCCACTATCACTCCCCCCTCCCCTCCCAGGCGGGTCCGTCATCTCGCTGACCTACATCGCATCGGAGCAGATCATCCCCGGGTACGGAGGCGGCATGAGCTCCGCCAAGGCTGCTCTCGAGAGCGACACGCGCGTGCTGGCGTGGGAGGCAGGGCGCAAGTATGGCATTCGCGTCAACACCATCTCTGCAGGTATGAATACCCGCTAGGGTACTGACTGCATTGGTGCACGCGAAAGCACCTTTCCCTCCTGCTACTTGATGTTTGTGGCACAACAAGGCTGCACTTGAGAGTGACACGCGCGTGCTGGCGTGGGAGGCCGGGCGCAAGTATGGCATTCGCATGTATTCAACACGCGTGTGCTGGCATGGGAAAGTGGGACTGTGTGTCGTTGTTTAAGGCGCCTAGAAAATATAGAGCTCCGTTTAAATTTAAAGGCTGCTCTTGAGAGCGACACGCGCGTGCTGGCGTGGGTGGCAGGTTGCAAGTACGGCATTCGCGTCAACACCATCTCTGCAGGTACCTGAAGCAGCGACCTTCCTGCTCATCTTTAACAGCAATGCTGCTCGCCTGGTGCTAGTGGTACAGTGGGGCAGGCAGGGTGCAAGCATGGGATAGGAGATAACACGTGTGGGAGGCGGGGCGCAAGTATGCATCCGGGTCAACACCATCTCTGAAGGCGAAATGGCTGATGCTGGTGCGTGAGAGACACACTTGCGTGCTGGGCATACAGTAAGAGTCACATCACACCCCCCTTCCTCCCCCCTCTCCCTCCCCACCATCCTCCAGGTCCGCTGCGCAGCAGGGCGGCCAAGGCGATAGGCTTCATAGAAAACATGATCAACTACTCCACCGCCAACGCGCCCCTCCCCAAGGAGCTCGATGCCAACGAGGTGGGGGCCACTGCGGCGTTCCTTGCTCATCCCACCTTTCCCTTGCCCCCTGCCCCCTGCCCCCTGCCCCCTGCCCCCTTCCCCCGCCCTCTGCCCCGCGCCCCCCTTCCTCCCCACAGTCCTCCAGGCCCTCTGCGCAGCAGGGCGGCCAAGGCCATCGGCTTCATAGAAAACATGATCAACTACTCCACCGCCAACGCACCCCTGCCCAAGGAGCTTGATGCCGACGAGGTGGGGGCCACTGCGGCTTTCCGTGCTCATCCCACCCTTCCCCTGCCCCCTGCCCCCTGCCCCCTGCCCCGCTCCCCCTGCCCCCTGCCCCTCGCCCCCCCTCGTCCCCGCAATCCCGCAGGCCCTCTGCGCAGCAGGGCGGCCAAGGCCATCGGCTTCATAGACAACATGATCAACTACTCCACCGCCAACGCGCCCCTCCCCAAGGAGCTCGATGCTGATGAGGTGGGTGCCACTGCGGCCTTCCTCGCCTCCCCTCTGGCCTCGGCAATTACCGGAGTGACGCTGTATGTTGACAATGGGCTGCACGCCATGGGTGTTGCCGTTGACAGCCCTGCCATTGCCAATGCTGGCAAGTAGGCTTGGAAGTTGGAGCAGGCTTGGTAGAATTACCGTACAACCAGTCTAATTTTGTACACCTTGCAAGTAGTGTTTATTGGAGATATGCGATAAACGAGCGCTCTTTGTTTCTGGAGTCGGCCATCACCGGTGTGACGTTGTATGTTGACAATGGGCTGCACACCATGGGTGTTGCCATTGGTGGCCAGGTTGTACCTAGTGCAGGGAAGTACGGTAGTAGAGCTCATAAAAGTTGCAAGAGCAGGCTCGGTGGAAATACAACAAGAGCCATGGACGTTGGCCGACGTGGGAAAAGCAGCTTCGGAAAGGCAGGCAGTTGGAGGTTGGGCTGGGCTGGGACATGCTTGAAACCTAATATGGTAGCAGACATACGGTAGGTAATGCTGGTAAATGGTAGAGCTGGAAAATCAGGCTTGGTAGCACCACAAGAGCGCTGCACTGTGTATTTTGTTAGTACCGTAACAATCCACAGAGAAATTGTTTTGTGCACAACCTTTTGCGCGCTCAGGTGTGATGCTGCACAGTATGTTGACAGGGGACTGGTCTGCACGCCACGGGTATTGCTATGTGACGCGATAGACAGAGGATTTACCCTCACAAGATCATTACAGGATGGTACAGGGACAGCAGCATGGTACATTGGGCGACGTGGCCCAGATACAAAAGACACACATTCAGGAAACAACCACCTTGGCTTTCATATTACGGGCGCAGTGATTGCCCACAGCACACCCAAAGTAGAGGGTGGTTCCCTTTTGAATATCTTTCACAGGGTAGAAATAGTGGGCCCCAAAGATGCCAGTCTTGGGGTGTAGCTGAGTCGCAAGGCTGAAGTCGCAATTGTCGTACGCAATCTTTGCAGGGAATTGCCACACGTCGTGCTCTCCCAACCACTTGAACACTGCACATATCCCGAGGAGATAACATACGGTAAGCAAAACAGTTTTACATCCATTTACAGAAAATGATTTGTACACCTTCAACATTTGAACAAGCATGGAAAATGTGGAGGTTACATACAAAAAGTCAGTCACTTACAAAGCTGGTCGCCTGATTGGACTGTCCTAAAAGGCTTCCACCCGGAAATTCCATACCGCCATGGAGTAAAAATGCCATAGCCCACGATGATGGTCTTTGACTGGTGAGCAGATAAGGAAGGGAGCGGAAGGTTGGGGGCACATGGTATGAGGATACGGTGTTTTGTTGTTGTAAGTTGAGCATACATCATCGAATTTGCCAAAAAAACAATTCCAGCAAGTTTAATTAAGGAGACCAGAAACGAATTTCAGGCGATGATGGATGGAGGGTGGCCGTGGTGTAGTACCTCAGCCATTGCCGCGCCTGAAAACGCCAACATGCCAATGGGAGAGCAGGATAGGGGTATGATTAGGACCGGACGGCCGCAGAGGAGGCGTTCTGGAAATTTCGAGACGGCGTTCACGTTTCTTTCCGCATTTGCAGCAAAACGAAGGCAAGATTCGTCGCAAGCTTACTTGAAAGTAAGACGGCGAGCAGCACCCATCCAACGGCGATATTATTCGGAGACCTGCCGGGAGACACCTTCATCGCCATGCCACGTGAGTGAAAATGCGCTAAAACGGCAGGCACCTGCTGAATGCTGGGAAAGCTCAGCAGCCAAGAGATGCAGAAAACCCTAATACGCGTGGACTGAATAAAATAAAACGCGGCGACCAGCTGAATTGATTGAGAAAGAGGCGCGACGATCTATAAATAGTACTATGAGTAGGTGCTTTCTGGCGTGATGTTTTCTTTTTTGCGCGGCGCCATACCGAGTGAGATGATGTGTCCATCACGGTGTGGCCTGCGTTAAGAGCAACAGGCGAAGCCACCGAGTCCTTCCCGACCGACCTGAGTGGTTCAGCCATCCAGGCGCGCTGCAAGGGGCTGCCTTAACTCGAGAGAAGTTAGTTGTAGGTCGGTATAGGCGTTGGTAGGAGACTAATATTGTCGGTGCTAGGTGTGAACGTCGGCATGGGATGGGATGAAATGAAATTGGCAGGGACGGGGATGTGTTTGAATGGTTCACTTTATTACGGTGGGATGCGATTTTGTGCGTGTCAAAACGGCTCTTTCGTACATCGCTACGTTTAGGTAGGGTTTCGAGCAGAAACAAACACTTACACCACGCCCTTGCTGTGAATGCAGATTGGTGCGGTATTGTGTGATGGGGTGGGGTGTGTGGGTGCGGCTGTAGAGGCTGGCAGGCTGCAAATGCACATTTTGGAATTTGGTGCAAAGGCAAGAATGCGTGGCGCGTATGTGCAGGCGACACGTGACATACGCTCTACCAGCTGTATCAGCGCTCTCTACAATGTGTCGAAATATGGAGGTTTTATTACAGACTAACAAAGTATTTAACATATACATAGCGTCACAATGACACCAATGTGAATACGTTTTTACACGCAGAGTGAACCAATCACGTAGTGCATTTTTTTTGGATTAGGCACGTGCATTCAGACCCACATTCACTGTCCCGATATTAGAACGAAGGGGAGATGATTCAAAAGGAATGTTGCGCGAGCTTCCACAAACGAGGGAACCGACCATATTCTCAAGATGCGCCTGGCGACGGACTGCACGGCCAATAACAAATGAGCAGAAATTCGCAAAGGTCGTGCTGCGCGACGCTGTCTTCTCACCCTTACCACGCTGTGCGACGTCGCATCGTCTGTCCTCCACGACTTCCTTCCTTGAAGTCGTGCGAGCCAGCAAGCCTTGACAGCAAGCGGGTGTCCTCTGGGATCAAACGTGAGGAGGAATCACCTGAACAAGTCGTGAAACTTTTAGAACCACTCTGTAACGCTAGACAACGCAAGATGCCACTTCTCAGCGTTCTGAAGGTTCTGGAGAGACAAAGACCATAAACAGTACTTAGTCCAGGCCGCGGAAAAGGGCCTCTTCTTAGGGCTGTTTAGATGAGGGCTTTGATAAGGGCTGAATATGGTGTGACAAGATCCTGTGAGATGTAGTGCGGTTTCAATGTCAAGGAGGTTACAAATCCACCCAACTCAACACACCCACCCACCATTCCACCACAAGCCCTCGACAGTACCGTCTGACTCGTCACTCTCGTGTCATTTCAGCATGAAAGCCATTCCGCAGCATGAAGTTCCAGGAATGCCTTACGTAGCTCTGCAATGTTTGAGTACCTGCCGTCTGATACGAGAAAAACACGAATATCACACACGTCCGACTCGTTTCGTCGCTGATCGAACCGAAAGACGCTCTATCAGAGCGTACTGGCCATCTTAGTTCCTGTAGAGCTGAGCTCTGGGATAGTACTCTTCCCCGATTAATAGCTTACACCGTCTTTAGACCGTCATTCGCGTTCTAGGAATCGCGCGACCTTCGAGCAATGGCGTCGTCCATGTCGCTCACCGACATCGCAGCCTTCGCAGCGTCGTCGCTCGTCGAGTTCGCAGAAGTCATCGTCATCGCCGTCGCCACGTCTGTCCCTGTCGCCGGCCTCTGTATAGGCGTCCCCGTTGTTCGCATAATCACCGCATGCCTGCGCGGGCAGCGTACGCGTTTTAAGTACATCCGCTGGTGGCTAACCTGCGCCGTGTCGCTACTGCTGCTCGTGAATCTCCTCTTCCTGTCGGTCGGAATCGGCGCGCTTTGGCTGCAGATGCCGCCTGATCCGGCCGCCATGTCCAAGGGCACGTGCCGTGTTGTTTCCGCAGGTGAGAAATGAAAAATAAAGAAAGAAAGAAAGAAAAAAATCCATCCCCCCTTCTCTCCTCGCCCCACCTCCCCTTCCCCATCACCTCTCGCCATTTTCCCGCTTTCGGCATTCCATGATTTCGCTATCACTCGATGCCATTTTTGAATTTCGCCATGACCAGATTTCTCTGTTTTCCTTTGCCATTCCTGCTTTCGCCAGGCGTTGACCTGCGATCTGTCAAACTGTGCACCGTCAACGACACCTCCTCCTCCTCGTCGTCGCCCACCTGGTTACCATCTTCGCCACACACGTGGCAAGCCCCTTCGCAACCCTCGCCACACCCCGCCTCTCGTCCGTTCGCCTCCTCCTCCCCTTACGCAACCCCTTCCCCTCCTTCCGCCTTCCCCAACCGCCCTTCGTCTGCGCACTCCTCCCCACCCTCCTGTCACTCCTCCTCCTCCTCCCCTTTTTCATGCCCCTCCGCCTCGGCCTCCGCTTCCCCCCCCGCCTCAGCCTCCGCCTCCGCCTCCCCTCCCGCCAACCCCCCCTCCGCGCTCGCGTCCCTCTCCGCGTCGCTCCTCGCGCTCCTCCCGCACCCGCTGCTCTCCGCGCTGCCGCTCTCCCCGTCCGCCACGCGCTGCCACTTCACCTACTACTGGGCGGCGCTGATTCAGCTGGACCTCAACGTCTCCTTCCACTCGCCGTCCAACACGTGGCGCTCGCTTCGTCAGCACAGGCAGCAGAAAAGTCAACGAGGTCAACACAGTCAATCGAGTCAACGGAATCAAGCGAGTCAACGCAGTCAACGGAGTCAACGCGGTCAAGGGGAGGAAGGGGAGGAATGGGAGGAAGGAGATCATCAGGGGAGCATCACGACGATCCGAACCACCACGGCTCTCCCCGACCCGCTGTCCCTGTCTCTGCCGTCCTCCCAGTGCCGCCCGGATTTCAATGCGGCATGGCGGGCCAAAGACAAATACAAGGTTCGTTTTTGCTGCTGCTGCCACTGAGGTGACTTGTGAGGTGACTTGGAGTCGACTCAAAAGCTGCCCGGATTTCAACGCTACATGGCGGGCCAAAGACAAGGTGCGCTTCTGCCGCTTCATCGCCCTCCCCATTCGTCCCCCACTCCAACACCAATTCCCCCCTATTCTTTGTTCCCTCTCTCCCATGCTCCCACTTCCCCCCTTCCACCCCCAGGTGGCATCGCTGCACAAGTGTCTGTACGACCCGCGCCACCCCCAGAGGGTGCACCTGCTCTTTCTCCTCACCCTTCCTCCCTCCTGCCCCTCTCCCTCCGCCCTCCCCCGCGCCTTCCCCCCATCCCCAGGTAGCATCGCTGCACAAGTGTCTGTACGACCCGCGTCACCCCCACAGGGTGCACCTTCCCCTTCTTCTCGCCCCCTTCCCAATCCCCCCTCTCCCTCCGCCCCCCTCCTCTCCCCTTTCCCCCATCCCCAGGTGGCCTCCTTGCACAAGTGTCTGTACGACCCGCGCCACCCCCACAGGGTGCACCTGCTCCCTCATCTCAGCCCCGTCCTCTTTGTCCCTGGTGCCCCTCCCCCTTTCCCCGCTCCCACCTTCCCCCAGGTGGCCTCTTTGCACAAGTGTCTGTACGACCCGCGCCATCCCCACAGGGTGCACCTTCCCCCGCCGCGCTCCATGCGCCAGTGCCCGCCCCCTCCGCGCCAGGGCATATTCATGCACCTTGCTGCTACCGCCATCACGAAATGGTGAGTGTTTCAGGGCTTCAGAGGGTCTGTAGGGAACGAGATATGGTATGACCCCCCACAGGGTGCACCTGCCTGCTCCCTGCCGCGTGTCTCCATTCTCCTTTGCCCGCCTCCTCACGTGCCAGGGCATCTTCATGCGCCTCGCTGCTGCTGCTGCTGCTGCCATCACCAAGTGGTGAGTGCAGAGCCTGACTTTGTCCCATCCTCCCATCCTCTCTCCCTCTTCTTTCATCCCTGTCCCGTTTCTCCCGCACTCCTTCCTCCCCACATCAGGTTCTTTTCAGACGAGTCCATATTCCAGCCATCCTCATCGGTGGGAAAGCTCTATCTGGGCCTCAGCCTGGGCGTGCTGCTGGGAGTGCTGTGCTGTGCTGACGATTCTTGAGACGTTTATAAAACGACCTATTGCAGCACACATCCAACTGCGGACCCTTTTTTTCCCAATCCCCGTCCCTTTCCTCTCGGCCCTGTCTCGTTTCCCTCCATTTTGCACCCCAGGTTCTTTTCAGACGAGTCCATATTCCAGCCGTCCTCCTCGGTGGGCAAGCTCTATCTGGGTCTCAGCCTGGGCGTGCTGATGGGAGTGCTCTGCTCTGCTGTGCTGTGCTGTGCTCTGCTGTGCGCTGCTGTCCTGCAACCCACATCCAACCCCCACACACTCCTTCCCCCCACATCAGGTTCTTTTCAGACGAGTCCATATTCCAGCCGTCATCATCGATGGGAAAGCTCTATCTGGGCCTCAGCCTGGGCGTGCTGCTGGGAGTGCTGTGCTGTGTGGGCACGCACGTCTTTGGTCGCATCGTCGTGGCTCTGGACTGCTTCCAACCCCCGGCCTCCTCCCTCTTCGTCTCTGCTATCGAGGTGAGCTGCCTGCTGTACCCTGTTTGCTGTGTGTGAGGACCTGCTGTCTGCTCCACTGCTCCTCTCCCCCTTCATTCGTGCTGCTGGGAGTGCTGTTCTGTGTGGGCATGCATGTCTTTGGTCGCATCGTCGTGGCTCTCGACTTCCTCCTCCCTCTTCGTCTCTGTGATCGAGGTAAACCTTCTTTCGCACCGTGGTCTTAGAGAGGGGCTTGCAGACGCCTGGCACATGTTTTGAGATGTTTCAACATGTCTCAACTCATAAACTTGTTTTGAGACGTTTCAAAACTCGTCTCTGCGATCAAGGTGAACCTTCTTTCGCACCGTGGTCTTAGAGAGGCGCTTGCAGACGCCTGGTGCAAGTGTCACGCATGCATGCACCATGTGGCACCCATCCCCTCACACACTCATACTCGTGCCATGCCTTCACACACACATGCTCACGTCACGCCATCCATCCCCCTCGTATTCCCCCTTGCCAGGTGAGCCGTGGGCTGCGCATCACTCTAGTCGGGAGGTACCACTCAGCAATGAGCGAGGAGGGTAGGGAAAGTCGGAGAGACAGAGGGAGCAGCACCAGCAACACCAGAAGCAGCAGTGGCAGCAGGGACAGGGACACAGATAGGGATAGCAGCAGCGGCACCCTACACACGCACGGATCCCTGACCCGATCACTCGAGAAAATCCTCGGATTCCGCGGGTCTTCTGCTGCTCTATCGTTCACAGACACCCAGTTTCTCTCGAACCACTCTCCAGACATTCACCACCCGCCCAGCTTGCTCCATTCAGTGGGATCAGGGTCGGGGTCTCTCTCTGAAGAGCTGGAGGAGCTCGATCTCTCGGAGAGCATTCTCAGCTGCTTCTGCCCGTCTCTAGTCGACAGCCCTTTTCTGGCGAAGAAGCACCCTGAGAATTCACCTGAGAGGTCACCTGATCGCTACCGCAAGGCGGATTTGTGCCGTTTGAATGCGGGTGTAGCAGCAGGGGCGGAGGATGTTGAGCCGCTCTCCCTGCTCCAGCTGGCGGGGCAGGCAGAGGGGCAGGCACAGGCACAGGCTCATGCACAGGCAGAGGCAGAAGCAGAGGCCGAGGCAGGAGCAGGGAGACAGGCACGATCGGAGCATCCACAGGGTCTGCCTGCTGATGCCTCACAGTCGCAACTGTTAGTGCACTCAGAAGAGGGCGGCTGCGGGCTGCTTGTGCGTCAAGAACAGGCCTTGCCTCAGGAGCAGCCGGTGAGGAATCAGCAAGTAAGTTGTTTGAGTCCAGCTAGGGGCTGTGAGGTATCGGGGGTGGAGGGCGATGGAGGTGGTGCTGTCACAGCAGCAGCAGGTTCGGCAGCAGGTCCGATATTAGGTTCGCCAGCAGGTCTGGCAGCAGCTCCAGCGGTGGCTCTTCCAGGTTCAGAGGCTTTGGCTCAAACGGACCAGCAAATGGCAGCAGTGCCACCACTACCACTCACGCCTGCAGCAACAGAGCCATCAGCTTTCACATCATCATCATCATCATCAGCATCATCGTCCTCAGCAGCCGTGCCAGCACCCTCGGCTCCTTCGTCAGTAGAACCTGTGGCTCCGGGGTTGGCATTGTCGTCGCCACGAGAAGTACCGGTAGCTGCGTCTGCGCAACAACAGCAACGCTCGAAGCCGCTTTCGCCCCGGAGCAGACGATACCCGTCGCCCACTTTCCTACTACAGGCGCGCGCGCAAGCTTTGTGTTACATCGCTATTACGTGCGCAGTTGTCGGGCTGCTGGGTATTCTTCATGACACGGGATTGGTGCCGTTTTTAGATCCCTCAGGGTCGCCTGTGTTCTTACAAGGGATTAATTCCCTGCTCCAGCAAGGGGGCTTGCCGTATGCCTCTGCAGCAACCTTTGATGTCTCCTCTGGTGCTCACCGTTCTTCAGTATATCGAGATCATCGGCCTTTTATGTAAAAACGTCTGGTTTGGCATGGTGGACTTGACTACCTTTTCCTTAACTAGAATGTATATTATTGTAGTTTGTCAGATGGTTTTGGGGCTTACGCATAGTACCATAGCTCATATAAATGGCTGTTGAAATTGGATTACACCGTTATTGAGTTTCGATGAAGAAAGAGACTACTGATTGTCGCGTCTCGGACTCACCGTTCTGCAGATGCGAGGCATGGTGGTGACCTCGATGGTTTGAATGACCTGGTTCGGTGGTCCACGCTGAGTCAGCGAAACAGGCTCTCCTCCAAAGCGAACCGCCCACGTGGTGCTGAACCCACCCACTTTTGGCCCGATTGGTCCGTTTTACAGATTGAAACCGCGTCATGCTGTCGAGCCTGGCGCGCTGCTTGTGAAAATCTTGCCAAGCACGCTTCCGCAACCTTCGCTGAACCACACAGCCAACTTCCTTCTTCGAGACGCTTCTTCCTTGGGGTTTCATCCGTTAGGGTAGTTCAGTACAGCAGCACCTTTCAGGTGGGATGAGCAACTCTGGCTATATAATTGTGCTCCAAAGCTGTTTCTCATCATTCGTCGTGAGCCTCAGTTCCTTCCATTCTCAGCTTGTATCTACTGCTTATCGTAGCCTCCAGAGACCCTGCTTCCTTGATAAATACTGTCTGCCACCATGCAAATCTTCGTTAAGACCCTCACCGGCAAGACCATCACCCTTGAGGTCGAGAGCAGCGACACCATCGACAATGTTAAGGCCAAGATCCAGGACAAGGAGGGGATCCCTCCTGACCAGCAACGTCTGATTTTCGCCGGCAAGCAATTGGAGGATGGCCGTACTCTTGCGGACTACAACATCCAGAAAGAGTCTACTCTCCATCTTGTGCTTCGGCTTCGTGGTGGCATGCAAATCTTCGTGAAGACTCTTACCGGGAAGACCATCACCTTGGAGGTTGAGAGCAGCGACACCATCGACAACGTGAAGGCGAAGATCCAGGATAAGGAGGGCATCCCTCCTGACCAGCAGCGGCTGATTTTCGCGGGTAAGCAGCTCGAGGATGGTCGTACCCTTGCCGACTACAACATCCAGAAGGAATCGACTCTGCATCTGGTGCTTCGTCTTCGCGGAGGCATGCAGATTTTTGTCAAGACTTTGACGGGAAAGACTATCACGTTGGAGGTTGAGAGCAGCGACACCATCGACAACGTGAAGGCGAAGATCCAGGATAAGGAGGGCATCCCTCCTGACCAGCAGCGGCTGATTTTCGCTGGCAAGCAGCTCGAGGACGGACGTACCTTGGCCGACTACAACATCCAGAAGGAGTCTACCCTGCATCTGGTGCTCCGTCTTCGCGGAGGCATGCAGATTTTTGTGAAGACGTTGACTGGGAAGACCATCACCCTGGAGGTTGAGAGCAGCGACACCATTGACAACGTGAAAGCGAAGATTCAGGATAAGGAGGGGATTCCGCCTGACCAGCAGCGTCTGATTTTCGCGGGCAAGCAGCTGGAGGATGGCCGCACCTTGGCTGATTACAACATCCAGAAGGAATCGACCCTCCATCTGGTGCTTCGCCTCCGTGGTGGTATGCAGATTTTCGTCAAGACCCTCACGGGGAAAACCATCACGCTCGAGGTTGAGAGCAGCGACACCATTGATAACGTAAAGGCTAAGATCCAGGACAAGGAAGGCATTCCTCCTGACCAGCAGCGTCTGATCTTTGCTGGCAAGCAGCTTGAGGATGGCCGTACCTTGGCCGATTACAACATCCAGAAGGAGTCGACTCTCCATCTGGTGCTGCGCCTCCGTGGTGGTCAGTAGTGATCACCAGCTCAAGTTGGGTGGAAGTGGTTGTGTTGTGATGAATGCTAGTAGGCCTTTCTGTGATTTGCTGTTCATAATGGTGTATTGAAAAAGGCTTAGCGTACTACGATTGTACCCAAGAAATGCTACCACTTCATGACAGGCTTGCGTTTGCTGCACCATTCCTTCGACATGGTGGGACTCATCATCTGGAAGGTGAGCAGGTCAGTCCAATCTTTCAGATCAGTTACACATCATGGCACGCTTCCTTAGGTATGCTTCCACTCCCTCCCACTGGCAAAAATCCATTAGGTACTAACAACCCCATGTTTGACAAGAGGTTCAAATCAAACACATATCCTACCACAAGGCATGCCACAATACCATATTTGTGTTACACCCCTGTTCCAGATGTTATGTTCCATGAATATAACGATGCAATAACAGCACCGGGCACCTTCCTTCTCCCTCTACGGCTCCATCAGCCACCACCCTTCTCCCTCTACGGCTCCATCAGCCACCACCTCTGCAGCATCTATCTCACCGACCCGCCGTCCAAACGCAAGCTCAAATATCTCATCGTAAAGCTCCACAAACCGCGCATCCAGCCCCTCCCTCACATGCTCCGGGCTTGACAGGCAGCAACTGGCGTACCTACGGTACAACCCATGTCTCTCATCCACCACATCTTGTGGTACAATCACGACGCAATAATAGCACCGGCCTTCTCCCTCTGAGGCTCAACAGCCACAGCATCAGCCACCACTTCTGCAGCACCCATCTCCTCCGCTCCCCGTCCAAATGCAAGCTCAAAGATCTCATCATAGTGATCCACAAACCGTGCATCCAGCCCCTCCCTCACATGCTCTGGCAGCTCCTCATAGTCTTTCCGGTTGGCCTTGGGGAACACAAGCAGCTTCACACCGTTGCGACGAGCTGCAATCGTCTTTTCCTTCACCTGTGCAGGAAAGAGCAAAAGACATGAGAGAGAGTGTGTAAGTGTTCTGGCAGCTCCTCATAGTCCTTGCGGTTGGCCTTTGGGAACACAAGCCGCATGACGCCATTGCGACGAGTAGCTATGGTCTTCTCTTTAACCTGAGAGGGGGGGAGGGCGGTGAGTACAGGAGAGGAAGAGCAGAAGCGGTATGGTCCTCGTGGTGTTTCAATTCACATTGGGAGGGGCAATGGTAACAGAATCCCATCCCATCGTAGCATGCACTGCGCTTCCCCCTGCTGTCATCACTGCTGTCGCCACTGCTGACACCACTGCTAGCACCAAACCCATGTCAACGCAAGTCAACCACAGCTGCAACTCACCCCTCCCCTGTCATTGCCAAATCCGCGCTCACATTTCGCCCCAGTGCCAGCGACAGCATAGCCGTGATCATCGTGTAACCAGCCAGCAGAGACACACCCAATCCCAATCAAACCCCACCTCCTCTCACCCCTCCCATGGCCGTGATCATGGTGCAGCCGGCCAGTGGAACTAAACACACTTAATCCAAATCAATGCGAGTCAAGGCACCCCTCCCATCGGCAGCACCCTCCCAGTGAGGGTAATTTCTCCAGTCATGGCTAGATCCGCCCGCACATGCCTCTTCATGGCCAGAGACAGCATGGCAGTGATCATGGTGCAGCCAGCACTGGGGCCATCTTTGGGTGTGGCCCCAGCCGGCACGTGCATGTGCATCCCCACAGCCAACAGCAGTAACATACCAGTAACCACAGTACCGATGTCAACGCGAGTAAACGCAACTCACCCCTCCAATAGGCAGCACTCGGCCAGTCAGAGTCACTTCTCCAGTCGTGCCCGCACATGCCTCTTCATTGCCAGAGACAGCATGGCAGTGATCATGGTGCAACCAGCAGGTCAACAAACGTCAGCATAAGTCAACAAAGTCGACGAGAGTGAAGGCAACTCACCCCTCCTATCGGCAGGACTCTGCCAGTCAAGGTGACCTCTCCAGTCATCGCCAAATCCGCCCGCACGTGCCGCCCCAGAGCCAGAGACAGCATGGCAGTGATCATGGTGCAGCCAGCACTCGGGCCGTCCTTGGGCGTGGCCCCAGCCGGCACGTGCATGTGCATGCGCGTCTTCCTGAAGAACTCGCTGCCGGGGTCGGCACGTGTGAGGATCTGCCGAGCGACTGTGTGCGCTATGGTGGCGCTCTCCCTCATCACGTCGCCCAGCTGGCCCGTCAGCTCCAGACTGCCCCTTTCTGCTGCCTGAAATCAGAGAGTGAGGAGGAGAAGAGGAGAGGAACGGAGGGTGGAGAAGGGAAGAGTGACGTTAAATGGTGAGTTGTTGAATGTGCTTTTGCAGAAGCACTCCTGAGACTCTCTGAGAGACACTCCTGAGACTCTCTGAGAAGCATAGCAGCACTCTCACCTGCTCGATAACCGTTGCATGGTGACATGGTGCTCCTACATGGTGCTCCTACATGGTGCTCGTACATGGTGCTCCTACATGGTGCTCCTACATGGTGCTCCTACATGGTGCTCTATTCCACATAGACTGTGGCTTCAACATAGAGCGTCGACCCCCCATGGCCGTCCACGCCAGCCCCATGACCACACCCACGGGCGTCTCATCATACATGCGCTCGCTCTGACTGGAATGGACCCTCCATGGCATGGAAATCTGACCATGCCCACTGTAGTTTCTTGGTGCCACCCTCACCTGCTCAATGACGGTTGCTTCCACGTAGAGAGTCGATCCCCCCATGGCCGTCCACGCCAGCCCCATGACCACACCCACGGGCGTCTCATCGTACATGCGCTCGCTCTGAAACACCGGCTGCCCCACATACTCCACCAACGTGCCCTCGTCCACCACTATCCTCTCAGCTTCCTTCTCACCCTCCGTCCCATCCTCACTTCCAGCCTCTTTCTCCCTAACCTCCTTAACCTCCTCCTTCTCCTCACGGGTACCCAATTCCTCTGATTTTTCCTCTTTCTCCGCCTTCTCCTCGCCCCTCCTCTCTCCCTCTCCCCCATCATCGGACAGTCGAGTAACCAAGTCCAGAGCCCCCTCTGTACCCTCCATAATCTTCTCCGCTATATCCATACTGTCCTTCCTGCTGCTGCTGCTACTAGAATCACTAGCGCTAGAAATACTGCTGCTGAAATCACTGCTGCTGCTGCTGCTGCTGCCACTAGCACTGCTGGAGACAGAATCCTTGTCCTCTTCCCCATCCTCCAGCAATCCTGCTGCTGCCGCCGCTGCTACCTTCTTCTTCTCCTCCCTCGCCCCCTCCCTCCGCACTATCTTAAGTGCCACCTGTGATTCAGGACAAGCCGAGGGCCAATGAAAAGGATGACGTTATTAATAAAAAGCAGCAAAGGAGAGATACTGGCTGTTCGTCAAAATGCAAGTGGTGCTGCCCGAAGCTGCAAGAGAGAGTGTAAAGAAGAGGGATGTGAACAAGAAGAATCGCATTATTCAGATAACGTGAGATGCTGCAAGCAAGGAAAACCTCTCAGCAATTATCCCATAAAACCTCTCAGAACACCTTAGTACCTTGCGATAGATCCTTTCGATGTGCTTCTGCAGGTTCCTAACAACACCCTTTCACACCTCACAACACCAATGCACACCTCCCAGCACCCCTCCCCACCTTGCGGTAGATCCTCTCAATGTGCTTCTGCAGGTTCCTCACGCCCGCCTCCCTGCAGTACGTCTCGATGAGTGAGTGCAGCGCAGCGTCAGTGACCAACACCTGGATGGCGGAGGAGGAGGGTGAACATGGGGTGCAGAGGGCGGGGACCGATTGTGTCCGAGCTAACGTATTCAGGTTCCTTCCTCACGCCCGCCTCCCTGCAGTACGTCTCACTGAGCGACTGCAGTGCCCCATCCGTCACCATCACTGGTGGAGGAGGGAAGGGAGGGCGATGAGTAAGAAGACCAAGCAACCGTTGGCTGAGTGGTTCCTGAAAAGCCTCCTCACCACAGCCTCTCTGCAGTACGTCTCAATCAGAGTGCACTATCCGTCACCAACACCTGGTAGAATCAGAAAGGGGGAAGGGAGAGCGACTTGTGAGAAGGTCTAGCAACTCTGCATGCGCCTTCAAAGGTTTCCCACCCCGGCCTCCATGCGATTCAGCAGGGTGCGAGAGAGGGTACTAGAGTGTGTGATAGAGAGTGATAAGACCGTTCGAGTGATGAGAGTGTGAGGAAGTGCGTGGTAAAGTGTGAGAGAGAGCTCCCACCTGCTCCTCCCTCACGCCACACCCAGAGCGAGCAGCAGGCTCCAGGTACCCTCTAGCGATGTGGGTCTGTGCGTGTGTGTGTGTGTGTGTGTGTGTGTGTGTGTGTGTGTGTGTTGGTGTGTTAGCGTATGCGTTCGAGTGTGTGCCAAAAGAAATCCTCACCTGTTCTGGCTTCACGCCGCACCCAGTGCGAGCAGCAGGCTCCAGGTACCCTCTAGTGATGTGGGTCTTCTGTGTGTTGGTGTGTGTGCCAATGTGTGGTGTATGTGCTACATAGTGTGTGTTACAAGCAGCTCTCTTACCTGTTCCTCCTTCACGCCGCACCCGGTGCGAGCAGCAGGCTCCAGGTACCCTCGAGCGATGTGGGTCTTCTCGTCTGAAATGTATCCCACCAGTCGAATCACCTCCATGCGATCCATCAGCGGTGCAGGGATGGTGCTAGTGTGAGTGCCAGAGATTGTGATCTAGAGTGTGTGCATAAGTAGCACCCTCACCTGTTCTGGCTTCACACCACACCCAGTGCGGGCAGCAGGCTCCAGATACCCTCGAGCGATGTGGGTCTTCTCGTCTGAAATGTACCCCACCAGGCGAATCACCTCCATGCGATCCAGCAGGGGTGCCGGGATGGTCTCAAGCATGTTGGCCGTGCACACAAAGAGCACCTGAAGGGGGAGCGAAGGCGGAGGGGGGAGAGAAAGGAGGTCGGCAAGAAGTTGAGAAATGTTCCCCACCAGGCGAATCACCTCCATCCATTCGATCCAAGAGGGGCGCCGGGATGGTCTCAAGCATGTTGGCGGTGCACACGAAGAGCACCTGAGGAAGGGGGTCAGTAGCAATACAATTCGTTTTATTCTCGTCTGAAATGTACCCCACCAGCCGAATCACCTCCATGCGATCCAAAAGAGGTGCAGGGATGGTCTCGAGCATGTTGGCCGTGCACACAAAGAGCACCTGAGGGTAGGGGTGAGGGGGAGAGAGCAGAGGGGGAGAGGTGGGATATAAAGGAGGTCAGTAGATATATGGTTTGTTCTCTCGTCTGAAATGTACCCCACCAGGCGAATCACCTCCATGCGATCCAGCAGGGGAGCAGGGATGGTCTCGAGCATATTGGCCGTGCACACGAAGAGCACCTGAATGGGGTGGAGAAAGGAAACAGGACAGCAGGAAGGTACCTCTCCTTATCTGAAACAGGGAGAGGCAATCGGGCAGGGGTGCCGGGATGGTCTCTAGCATGTTGGCCGTGCACACAAACAGCACCGAGGGGTGGAGAGCGGGGAGAGAGGGAGAGAGGGAGAGACGGAGGGAGGGCAGTGGTGGTATGCGACTTCTCGTCTGAACCAAATCACCTCCATTCGATCTAGGAGGGGCGCCGGGATGGTCTCAAGCATGTTGGCCGTGCACACAAACAGCACCTGAGGGGGGAGGGGTGAGGCGGGGGAGGGGTGAGGCGGGGGAGGGGTGAGGCGGGGGAGGGGTGAGGCGGGGGAGAGAGGGAGGAAGCTAGGCCGTTGGATTGTAAATTCACATTGTGCTGTACACGAGTGTAACCCCACCAGGCGAATCACCTCCATGCGATCCAAAAGAGGTGGAGGGATGGTCTCGAGCATATTGGCCGTGCACACAAACAGCACCTGAGGGGGGAGAATTGGAGAGGTATAGAGGGGGAGCAAGGACGGACGGTCAGTAGCACTTTTCGGGGATAGTGGCAGGTAGTGGTCAAGGAACGACACGTTCTGCTCCGTTGACTTGCACTCACGCACTCGCACACTTGCACGGTGCACCAGACAACCAAGGGGCACACACCTTAGATAGGTCGAGGGGCACGTCCAGGTAGTGGTCGAGGAATGACGCGTTCTGCTCCGGATCCAGCATCTCCAGCAGCGCCCCTGCTGGGTCGCCCGCGTGGCCCCTTCCCAGCTGCCACGGAGACAGGGAGGTCGAGGGAGGGGCAGGGAATGTATGATGGGAGGAAAGAGTGAGCGTGTGTGTGAGCGATCCAGCATCTCCAGCAGCGCCCCTGCTGGGTCGCCCGCGTGGCCCCTGCCCAACTGGCGGTGCAGGAAGGGAGGGGCAGCGATGCAGAAAGAACGCAAGGGGGGGAAGAATGAGAATCCACGAAGAACAGTCCACCATCTCCAAGAGCGCCCCTGCTGGGTCGCCCGCATGGCCTCTACCCAGCTGCATGGCCTCTCCAAGAGAATTCGCAGGGATGCAAGGGGAAACTATGATGGCAGGAGAGTGGGGGGTGCATGAGCGGTCGAGCATCTCCAGCAGCGCTCCTGCTGGGTCACCCGCGTGGCCTCTACCCAGCTGGCAGGGAGAGGCAAGGAGGGGCGGGGTAACGGGTAACGCATGATGGTAGGAGAGTGAGGGAGGTCAGGAAGGATCCAGCATCTCCAGTAGCGTCCCTGTTGGGTCGCCCGCGTGGCCTCTGCCCAACTGTAGGTGAGGGACGGGAAAGTGGAGAAGTGGGGGAAACTTGTTGAGAGGAGAGCAGGGTGGCTGAGGGAGAGTGGGGAGACATAAGCAGTCAAGAATATTTAACAGCCTACACACCCCACAACACGCACGTTGTCGATCTCGTCATGTTGCCCACCCCTGTGTGGGCGTGGCAGCATGCCTCCCATCCCGCACGCAAACCCTCCCTCACTCACTCACTCGCACGCACCTTATCGATCTCATCAATGAGCACGAGCGGGTTGGCCACCCCTGTGGATTTCAAGCACTGCACCATCTTGCCTGGCATTGGCCCCATCCCACACGCACACACCTGCCTCGTTCACCAGTGGCTCCCTCACACACCACCGACCACATCACCCCACGCCCCCCCCATCACCATACCTTGTCGATCTCGTCGATAAGCACGAGAGGGTTGGCCACCCCCGTCGATTTCAAGCACTGCACCATCTTGCCTGGCATGGCTCCCACGTAGGTGCGCCGGTGGCCCTGCAGGGAGGGAGAAAAGGTGGGTTTAAGGGTTACTAGAAGTGAGAGGATCATGAGACGCCCCAAAAAGGGTGAAGGGAGGGTGGGAAAAGACAATGTAGTTTTACATGAGTGCAGGACTTGAAACACAGGTGCGTCACCTTTCAGGCTATCTGCTGGGCACGAGGCAAAGGAACACTTGGATTGAATGGAGCATATGCTGACATGTGCGTCTGCGGACACGTGCAAAAAAACAGCCATCTCTGCCACGTCAGACGAGCCCCACCTTGATCTCTGCCACGTCAGACAGCCCTCCAACGGAAAAGCGATAAAACTTGCGGTCCAGGGCGTTGGCGATGGAACGACCGATGGACGTCTTTCCCACCCCTGGTGGGCCCACCAGACAGATGATCTTGCCTGGCATGAGAATACACACACACGAAAGTGACAAGAGAAAGAGACAGCGAGCGGTCGACTTAGGCCCACACACCCACCTACACGCACCCTCTTACCCACTCATCCACAAAATCACACAACCATCAATGCATCCACCATCCGTGCTGCCTTTCAGCCGCCCCACAGCAATGAACTCGAGGATTCGCTCCTTCACGTCTGTCTGTCAGCCCGGAGTGGTGGGCTTACGGCCACCAGCCAACCCACTCATACCATCCGTGGGTTCTGGAGTGGAGGCAGGCACCCACTCATACCATCCGTGGGTTCTGGAGTGGAGGCAGGCACCCGCTCATACCATCCGTGGGTTCTGGAGTGGAGGCAGGCACCCGCTCATACCATCCGTGGGTTCTGGAGTGGAGGCAGGCACCCACTCATACCATCCGTGGGTTCTGGAGTGGAGGCAGGCACCCACTCATACCATCCGTGGGTTCTGGAGTGGAGGCAGGCACCCACTCATACCATCCATGGGTTCTGGAGTGGAGGCAGGCACCCACTCATACCATCCGTGGGTTCTGGAGTGGAGGCAGGCACCCACTCATACCATCCGTGGGTTCTGGAGTGGAGGCAGGCACCCACTCATACCATCCGTGGGTTCTGGAGTGGAGGCAGGCACCCACTCATACCATCCGTGGGTTCTGGAGTGGAGGCAGGCACCCACTCATACCATCCGTGGGTTCTGGAGTGGAGGCAGGCACCCACTCATACCATCCGTGGGTTCTGGAGTGGAGGCAGGCACCCGCTCATACCATCCGTGGGTTCTGGAGTGGAGGCAGGCACCCACTCATACCATCCGTGGGTTCTGGAGTGGAGGCAGGCACCCGCTCATACCATCCGTGGGTTCTGGAGTGGAGGCAGGCACCCGCTCATACCATCCGTGGGTTCTGGAGTGGAGGCAGGCACCCACTCATACCATCCGTGGGTTCTGGAGTGGAGGCAGGCACCCACTCATACCATCCGTGGGTTCTGGAGTGGAGGCAGGCACCCACTCATACCATCCGTGGGTTCTGGAGTGGAGGCAGGCACCCGCTCATACCATCCGTGGGTTCTGGAGTGGAGGCAGGCACCCGCTCATACCATCCGTGGGTTCTGGAGTGGAGGCAGGCACCCACTCATACCATCCGTGGGTTCTGGAGTGGAGGCAGGCACCCACTCATACCATCCGTGGGTTCTGGAGTGGAGGCAGGCACCCGCTCATACCATCCGTGGGTTCTGGAGTGGAGGCAGGCACCCACTCATACCATCCGTGGGTTCTGGAGTGGAGGCAGGCACCCACTCATACCATCCGTGGGTTCTGGAGTGGAGGCAGGCACCCACTCATACCATCCGTGGGTTCTGGAGTGGAGGCAGGCACCCACTCATACCATCCGTGGGTTCTGGAGTGGAGGCAGGCACCCACTCATACCATCCGTGGGTTCTGGAGTGGAGGCAGGCACCCACTCATACCATCCGTGGGTTCTGGAGTGGAGGCAGGCACCCACTCATACCATCCGTGGGTTCTGGAGTGGAGGCAGGCACCCACTCATACCATCCGTGGGTTCTGGAGTGGAGGCAGGCACCCACTCATACCATCCGTGGGTTCTGGAGTGGAGGCAGGCACCCACTCATACTATCCGTGGGTTCTGGAGTGGAGGCAGGCACCCACTCATACCATCCGTGGGTTCTGGAGTGGAGGCAGGCACCCACTCATACCATCCGTGGGTTCTGGAGTGGAGGCAGGCACCCACTCATACCATCCGTGGGTTCTGGAGTGGAGGCAGGCACCCACTCATACCATCCGTGGGTTCTGGAGTGGAGGAAGGCACCCACTCATACCATCCATGGGTTCTGGAGTGGAGGCAGGCACCCACTCATACCATCCGTGGGTTCTGGAGTGGAGGCAGGCACCCACTCATACCATCCGTGGGTTCTGGAGTGGAGGCAGGCACCCACTCATACCATCCGTGGGTTCTGGAGTGGAGGCAGGCACCCGCTCATACCATCCGTGGGTTCTGGAGTGGAGGCAGGCACCCACTCATACCATCCGTGGGTTCTGGAGTGGAGGCAGGCACCCACTCATACCATCCGTGGGTTCTGGAGTGGAGGCAGGCACCCGCTCATACCATCCGTGGGTTCTGGAGTGGAGGCAGGCACCCACTCATACCATCCGTGGGTTCTGGAGTGGAGGCAGGCACCCACTCATACCATCCGTGGGTTCTGGAGTGGAGGCAGGCACCCGCTCATACCATCCGTGGGTTCTGGAGTGGAGGCAGGCACCCGCTCATACCATCCGTGGGTTCTGGAGTGGAGGCAGGCACCCACTCATACCATCCGTGGGTTCTGGAGTGGAGGCAGGCACCCACTCATACCATCCGTGGGTTCTGGAGTGGAGGCAGGCACCCGCTCATACCATCCGTGGGTTCTGGAGTGGAGGCAGGCACCCACTCATACCATCCGTGGGTTCTGGAGTGGAGGCAGGCACCCACTCATACCATCCGTGGGTTCTGGAGTGGAGGCAGGCACCCACTCATACCATCCGTGGGTTCTGGAGTGGAGGCAGGCACCCACTCATACCATCCGTGGGTTCTGGAGTGGAGGCAGGCACCCACTCATACCATCCGTGGGTTCTGGAGTGGAGGAAGGCACCCACTCATACCATCCGTGGGTTCTGGAGTGGAGGCAGGCACCCACTCATACCATCCGTGGGTTCTGGAGTGGAGGCAGGCACCCACTCATACCATCCGTGGGTTCTGGAGTGGAGGCAGGCACCCGCTCATACCATCCGTGGGTTCTGGAGTGGAGGCAGGCACCCACTCATACCATCCGTGGGTTCTGGAGTGGAGGCAGGCACCCGCTCATACCATCCGTGGGTTCTGGAGTGGAGGCAGGCACCCGCTCATACCATCCGTGGGTTCTGGAGTGGAGGCAGGCACCCGCTCATACCATCCGTGGGTTCTGGAGTGGAGGCAGGCACCCACTCATACCATCCGTGGGTTCTGGAGTGGAGGCAGGCACCCGCTCATACCATCCGTGGGTTCTGGAGTGGAGGCAGGCACCCGCTCATACCATCCGTGGGTTCTGGAGTGGAGGCAAGCACCCACTCATACCATCCGTGGGTTCTGGAGTGGAGGCAGGCACCCACTCATACCATCCGTGGGTTCTGGAGTGGAGGCAGGCACCCACTCATACCATCCGTGGGTTCTGGAGTGGAGGCAGGCACCCACTCATACCATCCGTGGGTTCTGGAGTGGAGGCAGGCACCCGCTCATACCATCCGTGGGTTCTGGAGTGGAGGCAGGCACCCGCTCATACCATCCGTGGGTTCTGGAGTGGAGGCAGGCACCCGCTCATACCATCCGTGGGTTCTGGAGTGGAGGCAGGCACCCGCTCATACCATCCGTGGGTTCTGGAGTGGAGGCAGGCACCCGCTCATACCATCCGTGGGTTCTGGAGTGGAGGCAGGCACCCGCTCATACCATCCGTGGGTTCTGGAGTGGAGGCAGGCACCCACTCATACCATCCGTGGGTTCTGGAGTGGAGGCAGGCACCCACTCATACCATCCGTGGGTTCTGGAGTGGAGGCAGGCACCCGCTCATACCATCCGTGGGTTCTGGAGTGGAGGCAGGCACCCACTCATACCATCCGTGGGTTCTGGAGTGGAGGCAGGCACCCACTCATACCATCCGTGGGTTCTGGAGTGGAGGCAGGCACCCACTCATACCATCCGTGGGTTCTGGAGTGGAGGCAGGCACCCACTCATACCATCCGTGGGTTCTGGAGTGGAGGCAGGCACCCACTCATACCATCCGTGGGTTCTGGAGTGGAGGAAGGCACCCACTCATACCATCCGTGGGTTCTGGAGTGGAGGCAGGCACCCACTCATACCATCCGTGGGTTCTGGAGTGGAGGCAGGCACCCACTCATACCATCCGTGGGTTCTGGAGTGGAGGCAGGCACCCGCTCATACCATCCGTGGGTTCTGGAGTGGAGGCAGGCACCCACTCATACCATCCGTGGGTTCTGGAGTGGAGGCAGGCACCCGCTCATACCATCCGTGGGTTCTGGAGTGGAGGCAGGCACCCGCTCATACCATCCGTGGGTTCTGGAGTGGAGGCAGGCACCCACTCATACCATCCGTGGGTTCTGGAGTGGAGGCAGGCACCCACTCATACCATCCGTGGGTTCTGGAGTGGAGGCAGGCACCCGCTCATACCATCCGTGGGTTCTGGAGTGGAGGCAGGCACCCGCTCATACCATCCGTGGGTTCTGGAGTGGAGGCAAGCACCCACTCATACCATCCGTGGGTTCTGGAGTGGAGGCAGGCACCCACTCATACCATCCGTGGGTTCTGGAGTGGAGGCAGGCACCCACTCATACCATCCGTGGGTTCTGGAGTGGAGGCAGGCACCCACTCATACCATCCGTGGGTTCTGGAGTGGAGGCAGGCACCCGCTCATACCATCCGTGGGTTCTGGAGTGGAGGCAGGCACCCGCTCATACCATCCGTGGGTTCTGGAGTGGAGGCAGGCACCCGCTCATACCATCCGTGGGTTCTGGAGTGGAGGCAGGCACCCGCTCATACCATCCGTGGGTTCTGGAGTGGAGGCAGGCACCCGCTCATACCATCCGTGGGTTCTGGAGTGGAGGCAGGCACCCGCTCATACCATCCGTGGGTTCTGGAGTGGAGGCAGGCACCCGCTCATACCATCCGTGGGTTCTGGAGTGGAGGCAGGCACCCGCTCATACCATCCGTGGGTTCTGGAGTGGAGGCAGGCACCCGCTCATACCATCCGTGGGTTCTGGAGTGGAGGCAGGCACCCACTCATACCATCCGTGGGTTCTGGAGTGGAGGCAGGCACCCACTCATACCATCCGTGGGTTCTGGAGTGGAGGCAGGCACCCACTCATACCATCCGTGGGTTCTGGAGTGGAGGCAGGCACCCACTCATACCATCCGTGGGTTCTGGAGTGGAGGCAGGCACCCACTCATACCATCCGTGGGTTCTGGAGTGGAGGCAGGCACCCACTCATACCATCCGTGGGTTCTGGAGTGGAGGCAGGCACCCGCTCATACCATCCGTGGGTTCTGGAGTGGAGGCAGGCACCCACTCATACCATCCGTGGGTTCTGGAGTGGAGGCAGGCACCCACTCATACCATCCGTGGGTTCTGGAGTGGAGGCAGGCACCCACTCATACCATCCGTGGGTTCTGGAGTGGAGGCAGGCACCCACTCATACCATCCGTGGGTTCTGGAGTGGAGGCAGGCACCCACTCATACCATCCGTGGGTTCTGGAGTGGAGGCAGGCACCCGCTCATACCATCCGTGGGTTCTGGAGTGGAGGCAGGCACCCACTCATACCATCCGTGGGTTCTGGAGTGGAGGCAGGCACCCACTCATACCATCCGTGGGTTCTGGAGTGGAGGCAGGCACCCACTCATACCATCCGTGGGTTCTGGAGTGGAGGCAGGCACCCACTCATACCATCCGTGGGTTCTGGAGTGGAGGCAGGCACCCGCTCATACCATCCGTGGGTTCTGGAGTGGAGGCAGGCACCCGCTCATACCATCCGTGGGTTCTGGAGTGGAGGCAGGCACCCACTCATACCATCCGTGGGTTCTGGAGTGGAGGCAGGCACCCACTCATACCATCCGTGGGTTCTGGAGTGGAGGCAGGCACCCACTCATACCATCCGTGGGTTCTGGAGTGGAGGCAGGCACCCACTCATACCATCCGTGGGTTCTGGAGTGGAGGCAGGTACCCGCTCATACCATCCGTGGGTTCTGGAGTGGAGGCAGGCACCCACTCATACCATCCGTGGGTTCTGGAGTGGAGGCAGGCACCCGCTCATACCATCCGTGGGTTCTGGAGTGGAGGCAGGCACCCACTCATACCATCCGTGGGTTCTGGAGTGGAGGCAGGCACCCACTCATACCATCCGTGGGTTCTGGAGTGGAGGCAGGCACCCACTCATACCATCCGTGGGTTCTGGAGTGGAGGCAGGCACCCGCTCATACCATCCGTGGGTTCTGGAGTGGAGGCAGGCACCCACTCATACCATCCGTGGGTTCTGGAGTGGAGGCAGGCACCCACTCATACCATCCGTGGGTTCTGGAGTGGAGGCAGGCACCCACTCATACCATCCGTGGGTTCTGGAGTGGAGGCAGGCACCCACTCATACCATCCGTGGGTTCTGGAGTGGAGGCAGGCACCCACTCATACCATCCGTGGGTTCTGGAGTGGAGGCAGGCACCCGCTCATACCATCCGTGGGTTCTGGAGTGGAGGCAGGCACCCACTCATACCATCCGTGGGTTCTGGAGTGGAGGCAGGCACCCGCTCATACCATCCGTGGGTTCTGGAGTGGAGGCAGGCACCCACTCATACCATCCGTGGGTTCTGGAGTGGAGGCAGGCACCCACTCATACCATCCGTGGGTTCTGGAGTGGAGGCAGGCACCCACTCATACCATCCGTGGGTTCTGGAGTGGAGGCAGGCACCCACTCATACCATCCGTGGGTTCTGGAGTGGAGGCAGGCACCCGCTCATACCATCCGTGGGTTCTGGAGTGGAGGCAGGCACCCGCTCATACCATCCGTGGGTTCTGGAGTGGAGGCAGGCACCCACTCATACCATCCGTGGGTTCTGGAGTGGAGGCAGGCACCCACTCATACCATCCGTGGGTTCTGGAGTGGAGGCAGGCACCCACTCATACCATCCGTGGGTTCTGGAGTGGAGGCAGGCACCCACTCATACCATCCGTGGGTTCTGGAGTGGAGGCAGGCACCCACTCATACCATCCGTGGGTTCTGGAGTGGAGGCAGGCACCCACTCATACCATCCGTGGGTTCTGGAGTGGAGGCAGGCACCCACTCATACCATCCGTGGGTTCTGGAGTGGAGGCAGGCACCCGCTCATACCATCCGTGGGTTCTGGAGTGGAGGCAGGCACCCACTCATACCATCCGTGGGTTCTGGAGTGGAGGCAGGCACCCACTCATACCATCCGTGGGTTCTGGAGTGGAGGCAGGCACCCACTCATACCATCCGTGGGTTCTGGAGTGGAGGCAGGCACCCACTCATACCATCCGTGGGTTCTGGAGTGGAGGCAGGCACCCACTCATACCATCCGTGGGTTCTGGAGTGGAGGCAGGCACCCACTCATACCATCCGTGGGTTCTGGAGTGGAGGCAGGCACCCACTCATACCATCCGTGGGTTCTGGAGTGGAGGCAGGCACCCGTACCCCCTTTTGTGCCTGCCTCCACTCCAGAACCCACTCATACCATCCGTGCTGCCTTTCAGCCGCCCCACGGCAATGAACTCCAGGATTCGCTCCTTCACGTCCGTCAGCCCGTAGTGGCCCACTTAGGGCCCCCCACACACCCTCCCACACCCACACTCATACCGTGCATGCTGCCTTTCAATCGCCCCACGGCAATGAACTCCAGAATCCTCTCCTTCACGTCCGTCAGCCCGTAGTGATCCGCGTCCAACACCCGCACCACTTACCACTCACACACACACATCACGTAAACAGCACATACCATGTGTGCTGCCCTTGAGCCGCCCCACAGCAATGAACTCGAGGATGCGCTCCTTCACGTCCGTCAGCCCGTAGTGATCCGCATCCAGGACCTGCTGCGCCCGCACCACGTCCAGATTCTCCTCGCTGGTAGGATAGGGGTGGGGAGATGGGTGGAAATGGGTGCAAAGGGCAACAGGGGATGGGGAGATGGGGGAACGGAAAGGAGGCACCAGTGCAGTCAGCCCGTAGTGATCTGCATCCAGCACCTGCTGCGCCCGCACCACGTCCAAGTTCTCCTCGCTACCAGAAGGAGGGTTCAGAACGGGCGCATGGGAAAATGGGGGCACGAGGAGGTGCGATCAGCCCGTAGTGATCTGCATCCAGCACCTGCTGCGCCCGCACCACGTCCAGATTCTTCTCGCTGAGAGAAAGCAGGAATCAGGGAGTGTCAGTATGGGGGATGGGGGAACGGAAAGGAATCAGCACTGGGGTCAACCCATAGAGGTTCGCATGCATCACCTGTTGCACCCATAGAGGTCCCCTCCCTCACCTGTAGTGCCCCCAGGGGATGGACGTGAGCCAGTCGAGGTAGTTGCGCGTCACGTTGAACTCAGATGAGCTACCCTCGACCCACCCACCCACCCACCCACCCATCCCCCCCATCCGCCCATGTACCCATCCCCCCATTCACATCCCCCCCCCCCCTCCCCCCCCATTGCCCCACCTGTAGTGCCCCCAGGGGATGGACGTGAGCCAGTCGAGGTAGTTGCGCGTCACGTTGAACTCTGATGAGCTTGCTTCCAGGCCTTGCAGCTTGGCCAGTTCGTCCTCGATCACCTGTTTTGAGACGTCTCAATACAGGAATAAAATCACGTGGCAAAAGGAGGCACGTGGAGAGAAAGAGGTACTATGAGCTCGCCTCCAGCCCTTGCAACTTGGCCAGTTCGTTTTCGATCACCTGGTGGTGAGTGTTGAGTGCGCCAAGGGAGAAACAAGGAGCAGAAAGATGGATGAGAAAGGTGGAAGATGGAAGAGCACGAAGGGAGTATGAGCTTGCCTCCACCCCTTGTAGCTTCGCCATCTCGTCCCCTATCACCTGGTGGGGATGCATGAAAAGCAAATCCTTCTAGGTATAAGGTTAAGGTTAGAAGTGGGGAGAAGCGAGGGGTGCGAAGCGAACGCAAAACGCTGGGTGTAGCCGAACCTTCTAGGCTTGGAAACTTGGTTCGTAGCCAAACCTAAAATGCCCCCAACTCAACAAAAGTCTCAAGTACCCAAAAGTGTTTTGCAATTGCTTCTGGGGCAATGATGGGGTGTGTTCCAAGCTGAGCTTTCAACCCAACCAGAGGGGACTTCGTCTGCACTAACTAGGTAACCTAGCTTCAACTGTTTTGCAGTTGATGGCTCCTTAGCTTACATGAGACCCTGGCTTCAAGGCGCCATGAGGAAAAATCACACCACAACAACAGATAAAGTGTAACCCTTGTCGAGTCATCGTGCTACTGGAACGAAGTGCATTGCAGGCATCGCCATACCTGCATGGCTGCTGGAGGACAGTTCTGCTGAAACGGCTACCTTGGGACATCTCGAAGCAAAATAGCTTCCACCTGCACTACACTGCGACTGCCCTACCTGCATGGCTGCTGGCGGGCAGTGCTGCTGAAACGGCTGAACTTTGAGACGACCCAAAAGAGGCCGAATTTCACCTGCATGGCTGCCATCGCCCTACCTGCATGGCTGCTGGAGGGCAGTTCTGCTGAAATGGCTGAAGCTTCTCCTTGAAGCGACCTGAGAACACATGGGATGTGATGGTGGGACGAGAGCACAAGGAGTTCATGTGAGCCTGACGCAGGTGAGTGGAGAAGAGTGAAGAGGCATGAAGCTCGTGTGGAGAAAAGCAGTGATAAGCAAGGGGTGCAGATACACACAGCGATGGCATGGCTTGGTATGTCATGGCATGACATGGTATGTCATGGCATGGCATGGTACACAGCACTGCATGGCTGCCCATGACTCACCGATGAGTGCAGTTTTGTCATCCTTCTCAAGCCCTAGCTCCTGCACACCACGAGGAGCACACGATGGGACGACAGAGCAGCAAAAGAGGCGATGAGAGAAGAGAAAGAAGAGCGAATGTGTAATGGAAGAATGATGCCCCTCCCATCACCCTCTTAATCCCCCCTCACCTTCTTGATCGCCTTGAGCTGCTCCATCAGCATGTATCTGCGGCTCTCCCCTGCCAGCACAAGGCACTACCGGCCTCACCTGTTCATAGCCTCACCCCCTTCATCCCCACTCACCTTCTTGATGGCCTTGAGCTGTTCCATGAGCATGTATCTGCGGCTCTCCCCATTCAGCACAGGGCACTTCCAGCCTCACCGTCCCAACCCCTTACCCCCTTAATCCCCACTCACCTTCTTGATGGCCTTGAGCTGTTCCATGAGCATGTATCTGCGGCTCTCCCCTGCCAATTTCTCCTCCACGCCCTTGGCGATGTTTGCCTGTCAGTGCACAAGGGAAGTGAGGATCAGGAAGTTTGAGATTTGAGGTTAGGCTGGTTAGTCAAGTGGTTCACGGGTAAAGGAGGAGTAGTTAAGAACAGGTAGACACAGAGAAAACAAGGGAGGATGCGGAATGGACATGGTGAAAATGCAAAACGATGGTAATGGTAATGATAGTGGTGATGGTAGTAGTAACGGTAATGGTAATGGTAGTGGTAGTGGTAATGATAATAGTAATGGTAGTGGTGATGATAATGGTAACGGTAATGGTAACGGTAATGGTAATGGTAATGGTGATGATATTGGTGATGGTAATGGTAGTGTGTAATGGTAATGGTAGTGGTAATGACAATGGTATAAGTGATGGTAGTGGTAATGATAATGGTAATGGTAATGGTAATGGTAATGGTAATGGTAATGGTAATGAGCGCATCACCTCACCTGCAGCTTGGCCAGCTCTAATTCCTTCTTGAGCAGCATGAGCGCGAGAGACAGGCGCTTGCCCACCTGGTGGTGCAGGGATGGAGGGGGAGCAATTGACATGAGGGGAGGGAGAGGAGGAGGAAAGGAATCGGATAGAGGGAGAAAGCAGGTGCAAGAACAGTGCAGACAAGAGCCGATGCATCCACTACACTACAGACAACAAACGAACGCACGCATATCTAGATGTCGTCATCTACACACACACTTCTGCACATGTCTGGACATTTGTGTACATTTCCACCACGGCACTTCCAGAAGAACCGACTGGAGTGTCGACTCATCGGCGATCGCGGTCGTAAGCGCAGCACTGAAGTCGGCCATGCGGGAGGCGTTTAACACCCCCACGTGCTGCACGAACATGGCGATGTGCTCCTTGCTTGTACAGCGGGTTGTGGATGTACTCAGAATTATCAAGCCACACAAACGGTGCCACCACGACTCACATCCAGCTCTTCCAGCACGGATTGCAGCGTTGGCTCATCAGCAGTGGTGAGTGCCGCCCCGAAATCCGCCATCCTTGAAGCATTGAACTCCCCCACGTGCTGCACGAACATGGCTATGTGTTCCTTGTACAGCGGGTTGTGGCATGGCTCACAGGTGTTGGTGACAGACCCGGTTGGTGCGATTGCTGGCACACCATGCACACAAAGCCAGCACTCACATCCAGCTCTTCCAACACCGATTGCAGTGTTGGCTCATCCGCAGTGGTGAGCGCGGCTCCAAAGTCAGCCATCCTCGAGGCATTGAACTCGCCCACGTGCTGCACGAACATGGCGATGTGCTCCTTGTACAGCGGGTTGTGCCTCACAAGGTCTTTGAGCGTGCTCACCACCTCCATCACCGTGGCTTTAATCATCACGCTGTTGCTGTCGTAAGGCAGATCCTGGAATGAAGTGGTGTGCAAAGGTGCAACGGGGTGCAAGAGGGTGAGAGTTGTTAATGCCTCACGAGGTCCTTGAGCGTGCTCACTGCTCACCACCTCCATCACCGTGGCCTTTATCATCACACTGTTGCTGTCGTAGGGGAGATCCTGGGGGGTACAACGGGGTGCAAAGAGGTACAACGAAATGCAACATGTGAACGAGGATGAAGGCTGAGGGCACACACACACACGTGCTCACCACCTCCATCACCGTCGCCTTTATCATCACACTGTTGCTGTCGTAGGGGAGATCCTGAGGTGAAGGGGGGGGGTTGCAGAGGGGTGCAGTTGGGTGCAAGGTGTGTAAGGTGTGCAAGAGAGTGGAGGTTGAGTGCCCCTGCCACCATGCCTGTCAGCCCCCTCACACCACACATCACACAATGCAGCGCTGCCATCCCAGTCACTCATCACAAGCACCCATCACAGCCACCCATGATCCATCCCACCCAACCCACCCATCCCCACCTTGATATGGTCCAGGGCTTGAATGAGCAAATCCTCCGCCACCATGCCGGTGATATTGGAGTGACTTTTGAGAATTCTCAAAAGTGATCGTCACATCGTCGCATCACGCTCACACTACCCAGTGCAGGCTGACCTTCAATCACATCCCATCCATCCCCAGTGCACTGCCATTCCAAGCAACCAACCCATCCCATCACATCGCATCGCACCCATCCCCACCTTGACATGGTGCACGGTGACAGTGAGTGAATCCTCCCCCACCATGCCGGTCAGCCTCAGCCTAGAGTGTGGCGTGATCTAGAGTGTCTATGATATGAAGGAACCGTTCCCCACCCATCCCCACCTTGATATGGTCCACAGTGACACTGAGCGGGTCCTCCCCCACCATGCCTGTCAGCCTCAGCCGCCGGTGCCCCATCAGCAGCACCTGCGCAGAGTCGCCATCAAGAGGCTTGATCACCTGCATCACCTGCAGGGGGGAGTATAGTGGGGAGCGGGAGAGGAGGGTGGGGGTGTGGGCAAGGGTAGTGTTGCGGGCGGCATCACAGCAGCTCAGCCGCCGGAGCCCCATCAGCAGCACCTGTGCTGAGTCCCCGTCCAGAGGCTTGATCACCTGCATCGCCTGGTGGGGGGAGGGGGGGGTATGAGGGGGTGGTGGGTGGGGCAAGGGTAGTGTTGCAGCATCACCAGCAGCAGTTACTGCCGGGCTTGCTCACTTGCATCACATCAGCAGCACCTGTGCTGAGTCCCCGTCCAGAGGCTTGATCACCTGCATCACCTGTAAGGAGAGAGGAAGGAGAGGGAAGGGGGGAGGGCGGAGTGTGAGAGGCGGAGAGAGGTGGCTTGCTGACCAGCATGTGTATGAAGATTGGTTTTGAGACGTCTCAAAACCAATCTTCATACACGGGGAGGGCGGAGTGTGAGAGGCGGAGAGAGGTGGCTTGCTTACCAGCATTAACAGCTTGAGCACCCTACCATTCCCTTCAAACCCCACTAAACCTATCGCTCTCCACCCATTCTCACCTGGGCGAACGTCCCTGTTTCATGCAGCTTGCTATACAGCTCCCCTCCCTTGATAAACGCCTCCCCTCCACCGCCACCCCCAACACCTTCCCCCTCTCCCGCCCCCTCTCCCAACCCCGCTCCTGCTCCTTCCGCCTGCCCATTCGCCTGCCCTCCCCCTGCCCCCGCTGCCCCCCCTCCACCAGCCACCTCCCTGCCCCACTCCTCCGCAACGCCATCACTCCTCTCTAGCCCCAACTCCCGCCGGCTGCCGCTGCTGCTGCTGCTGCTGCTGCTGCTTGGGGCTGCTCCTTCTGCCCCGTCTGCTCCTGCTGCTCCGGCTGTTCCAGCTGCGCTAGCTGAAGGATGAGCGGCAGAAGAAGCAGCAGCAGCAGCAGCAGGAGCAGCATGGTCGTCGCGCACTAGGAATGCGCCCACGTAGGGCGTGCCATGCGCCTTGAGCGCCTGCAGCGCCGCCACCAGCTTGGGGTTCTGCAGGGGGAGAGGGGGCGGGGTGTTGGGGGGGGAAGAAGGGGGAGCGGAGGGGTAAGCATGGACACGTAGGGCGTGCCATGCGCCTTGAGCGCCTGTAGCGCCGCCACCAGCTTTGGGGTTCTGGGGTGGGGAGGGGGGTGGGGGGTTTGGGGAAAAGGGGGGAGCGGGGAAAGAGTGGGGGAGAGGGGTTGGAGAATGCGGCCACATAGGGCGTCCCATGCGCCTTGAGCGCCTGCAGCGCCGCCACCAACTTGGGGTTCTGCAGCAGGGGGGAGGGGAGGGGGGGGGGGGGGTTGTTGTGGGGGGGGAGAAAGGGGAGAGGAGGTGTAAGCATGGGCACGTAGGGCGTGCCATGCGCCTTGAGCGCTTGCAACGCCGCCACCAGCTTGGGGTTCTGCAGCAGGGGGAGGAAGGGGGGGAGGAGCATGGACACGTAGGGGGAAATACGGCGGGTGCAATAGTGAAAAACCGAAGGTACGCGCTCCCCCTCCCCCCCCACTGCACCTTGACGGTACAGAAAAAGGGGTCACATGTCCCCATCTTAACGGTAACGGAAGAAACAGAACTCAAGTGTAGCCACACGCGCCCCCCACCTTGACAATAACGGGGACGTAGAAACCAGGGAATAGCGGTCTGCGCGTGAGCGGAATCGCGAGCACTGTCGGGTAATGCTCGGGACGCGGACCCGCGGGGACGATGGAGTTTTCCTCCGCCAACCCCCCGCCTTCCCCCGCTCCTTCCCCCGCTGCGCCTTCCCCCATCACGAATTCTGACCCGGCTTCCGCGGATGCGCCTGCGTTTTCCCCCGCAATTCCCCCCACGGATTTCCCCTCCCCCAGCGCGGCAGCTTCCGCGTTCGCAGCCGCTGCAGCGGGAGCGGAAGCGGCTCCCTTAATTTCCGTGGCAGACCTGATCCGCGAATCACGCCGTCTAATGCGGCCGCGCCGGGCGCCATGGTACCCTGCGTGCGCTACGGCATCCGCTGCGACTTCCTCCCCCACTGCTTCCGCCGATGCCTCACTAGCGGCGGCTTCCCCCGCCGCTTCCCCCGCCCCTTCCGCCGATGCTTCCGCCACGCGCGCGGATTCCCCTCCGCCTTCCGCAACTACTTCCGCCGCCGAATCCCCCTTCTTGCCTCCTGCATTACTCCCGTTCCCTGAATCTCCGCCGGAATTTGCGGTGAATCCGCGAATCCATGCTGTTCCGGCGGCGGCCTGAGCCTGATCCCAGAGCACTAAGACTCGGTACTGGACTGGCTGGAGCGCGCGGTGCGCTGCGGATGGGTGCAATGCGGTGCATAGGACACGATCGAGGCGCCGTGGTAAGCACGGCTTTAGAGCTGCCAGCATGGCAACTAGGGAAGTAGGCACTAGGCCAACCTACTGCCTAGCTATGGTACCTACCAAAATAGCGAATTTTAGGCGACCAGCGGCATTGAAATGATAGTTGTGCTGATTCAGGGTGAGCAAATCTGCGGACTTTGCTAAGAGGGTCGAATCTTGGGAAATTTGCATCGGGAAACGCTTAGCTAAGAATTGCTAGAAGCAGCTCCAGTTGCGTGAATCAGAAGCGAGTCCACGTGGTAAGCTGGCGACGCTCCTGTCGAATCGCCAGAATGTTCGACCTGTGAAGAATGGAATCTCCACTACCATAAGCCTCGATATGTCTAGACACGAGAAATGGCGATAAAGTCTTTATCCAAAACCTGGAGGGGGAAAAGACGGAAAATATAATATTTTCACGAAAGGGATCCCACAGTGTCGAAAAGCTGCTGAAATGGTAACCGCACCTACTTTGTAGGGACCGAACGAAACGCCACTTCTTCGCGCCACTTTCTGCCTCGTGGATCGCCACAACAAATCCAGCGGTTCAAACATGGCGGAGCGCCCTTCAGCGATCTCCACGTTCTGCGAGAGAATTACCGCGGCACGGGGTTGGGCATCTGGAATTTTTCTTATAGCGTGCCAATTTTGTTATACCCCATTGCGACGCGAATCCACCTTTTGTCCCGCGCTTCCCGCGGTGCCGTCATTTCGTATTGAAAAACGAAGTGTAGCTATCAGTGTACGGTCACTTCGAAAATGTTTGCCAGGATTACACATGGTCGCCTCCAATATTGTTGGAACCAGACCACAAATTTCGAGGGTGTCCAAACCTACGTGGACAGGTTTGGCTCGATCCCCCCAACTTCCCAGCCATGAGCATGTGTTCGTTTTGACATGTGTTCGCCAGCTGGTTCACCCTGGATGCCCCATGAATCGCTGACGCGGATTGATAAAAAACCGTTCGAAACACTATACACGTCAGACTGAGCACCATCCAAGCCACTTCAGACACTGCCAAACGAACAACTCGATGTTAAAAAGCAAGGAGTTTCGATATACGCTGAGCATAATACCAGAAAATATTAATGAATAATACACATAGAACCGTTAATATAACTGGCCTTGCATAAACAGTTGAAGTATCTGTCAAAAGCAAGTTTCTTCATAGTTCCAATACATGATTTGTAGTTTGAGTAATGTATTCATACTGTCAAATATGAAACAACGTATATTGAAAACTATCAACATTCATGGTATAAGATTATCAAATGTCTAGGTTATGCAATGAAATTATTTATGTCACTAGTGTTGAAAATATGTAACTTTATAATGTCCCATCATGCATGAGGATAGTGGAGTATGTGCTACAGATACATATTATATGTATAACATAACCTTGTATAAATTATTAGGACATTAGGAGTATGTGCTACAAATATATATCATATGTATAACATAACCAAGTATAAATTATTAAGATTGCAAAGTAGACACTAATAGGTTTACATATGACAATAAAAGTGGGAAGTTATGATTTGGCTAAATATTTGTTGCACGAGATGAACAATTATCAAGCATAGCAATGAACCATTACTGTTTCTAAAGATTGAAAAAAGATGGGTAATCTCAAGGTGTATCAATAGAGATACCTACGTCAATAGGGTATGGCAGAACTACGTAATGCATGCACAACTACACAATACATAAAAGATTGAGATAGCAAGATTGACAAACAAAATATTGAATATAAATCCACGGGGTGTAAATTCAAACAATTGCTCTACCATTTCCAATTTCTCAGAGTGATGATCGGTCTTCGATTGTACCAATAGAATAAATGGATGAGAAGACTCAAAGTACTTCGAAATGGGAAATAACCTATTAAACACAATGTGAATATCTGAAATAATAAACAACTGACTTTTCATTCTATATCATATTGTATACTTTGTCCTCCTAAACCCTGTAGTAATACAAAATATTGCAAAGAAGCGTTATCTCAGGTGATTTCAGAGAGCATTGAGTGTTTTTATTTTGGGCCTTGTTTATTATTTTGTTTATTATATATAGTTACCATCTACTGATAATATTTGTTGTGAAACTATCGCTGTGTATAGTATCGAGCAGGTAAAGATTGTTTCTTCACACTTCAGCAATGCCGTTGAACATGTTCATTTCTATAGTATGACGCGGCGCAAACTCATTGGCTGGTTAATTCTCAAATGTCAGTTTGAACTTTGAGCAGATAGTGACGAGGCGGTCTGTGATTGCTTGATCGGGTCTGTTTTGAGCACTACAGTTTAGCAACCTCAGATCCAATCGTCTCGCGACACGCGTTGACTGAAATGAGACACATAGAACAATTCATCTCGCGACAGTCTGATACAGTGAACCCAAGCAGACTGTCGAACCTGTTCGCGCTCGAACCTCGCCGAACCAGCATTCCACACTTTCGGGAACGCAATGACCAATCGGTGAACCCTGCGTGGCAGGGGGGTTCCACATTGAACCCTAAACTGCCCACCGACAAAATGACGACCCGGAAAAACAACCATATAAGTGTTAATATAGATCACTTTAACGCGAGCGCGGAAAACTGGTTATGAAAGGTGGATGGACCGCGAAAACGGTTTTGTAAAAATTGCAGCGCGATATAAAAAATTGCCGAGCCCAAAGCCCGTGCCGCGGTAATTCTCTCACGTTCTGCTGAACATTGCCATGATGGTAACGGCTCGTGCACGGCGGAAATTGAAATTCAGCCAATCAACGCTCTAACAGTCATCGACCGAGTTTCGCCGAGATCAGGCAGCGTGATTTTCACATTCGCGCACGGAATCCGGCCAATCTCCAGCACGAACGAAATGATCTGACTCCTGTCATCTGACAGGCGTGTGCGTATGGCGGGAGGGTTCTGCATGTAACCGACAACCAGCAGTGGGCTTTGCTGTGAAGCTGTGATGTGGTGCGATCGAGTCGCACATAACTCTCCAAGTTCCCATCCCATAACACCCACGACTCCCTTGTATTTCATAAGCGCATTCAACCACTTTATATTACTTTGATACCGTTTTCACATCCGTCTATGATGGAGTCTACTGGCACCTCCTAGTGGATTGATTGACACTCCACTTGGAATAAAATCATCTGAGACGCATGTCCGCAAAAGAAGGGGCACTGGCACAAGAAAGCATTGAGAAGAACATATTGATATGGGTTGAGGACGTAGTTATAAGAGCAACCGCTGAGGGTTGGATCGGAATGTAATCTGCAGAATCAGCGAGGTTCGAAAATAACAGGACGCGGCGGAGGGGTTAGATGAAGCATCAGCCGGAGGAGGTACTATCCGCTCCGTCATAGCAACGCCTGCTGTGTTCATTCCGTTCCGCTCAGTTGGTGAACCAATTCAGGAATTCTTTTAGGTCCATATTTAACCACACCATTCGTGAAAGGAAGCACAAAACTTCGAGCTCCCCGTTCATCTTCGCTACCCTAAATTTCAGCTCCGTGATGTTCGGCGTGAAAGTATTTTCCAGATAAACAGCCTCACATTCATTATCCCTTTTCCTCGATTTCGTAAAACTCTTCTCGCGCTATCGTCCACAGACTCTCTTTGAGATTCTCTGTTAATGCCACGCCGAGTCACAAAAGAATGAGTCCGAGTCGTTGCCATCCCCTCGAGCCCAACAATTCCAGCAATCGCACCGGCGTGGTCGGCGTGATAAGCAGCTGTTGGTCCACCCTAACCCCGAAGAACCTCCTTCCAGGCGACGTCATTCTCGCGCTTCACCCTGTCACCGTCTTCCATTTCCCGAAAGACCCAGCAGCACACGCGGTGATCAGTCAGAATGATCTGAGTCGGATGCATCAAGTGCGCAGTTTGCGTCGTCTTGTTGACATGGTTGCCGTGGGATGTGCCGTCGGAGCGTTTCGCGGATGCACGGCGACTCTCACGGTGCTTAGAGGGACCAGGTAGTAATTTCTTTACGAATAATGATTAATCTTGTCGCCATTTTACGATTCTCTCCTCAGTTCTCTTCGTTGCTGTCGTTCTTTTCCCTGTCTTTTTGTTCTGTGATTTTGTGCTTCAAGTTCTTTTAATTTTGCTTTTCCTTGCTCATTTGTTTTGGTATTGAAGTCGTGTGACCTCGTTTCTTGTGCCGCTAGAGGAGAGCTGCTAAAATCCATATTTACCCCTTGTAACCGGAGTAACCGCTCCTCCCTGGGCAGCAAATTCATTATAGCAGTGGAGATTTCGCCATCAGCTTTGGTACAGGAAACCGCATCTCATAACACGGAGGCTGAAGCAGCCCTAGCCGGATTCCAATCAACCTTGAGACCTTCGAGCCATCCGTCTCCTTGCGGTTCGTCCATTTTTCAAGGCGTGACCATAGCGGAAGGCAGCCACGAGCTGTTCGCCCCTCTTGCTAGAAAAACAGAAGCCACCATTCTCCGTTTAGATCGGCTCAAGGCGTTTCGACACGCTACCAGCAAAGCATCACGGCCGCGACCTGTGAACCTCTCAGGAAGGCACATTCAGGAAAGTCCTCGTACGGCGGCAGTGGCAGTCGCTGCTAGAAGCAGGGGTTCAGCTGCAGAAACGGGGTCGATGTGCATGAAATTTCCGGCACAGGCTATTCAAGGGTTAACTGAGTACTGTAGCGGAGCTGACGGCTCTTTCGGTGGCTGCTTTGGCATCGAATGGGGCTCCGTTGGGAAGGAGAATGGCGATCCTCCGTTCAGCAATGCTCGAGCGTTTTGGGGGCCGCGTGCTGGAAGAGATGAAGACGAGCCGCTGTACAGGCCGCTGCTGGTGGATTTCAACCTCCGCAGTCGGCAGAGGAGGGTTGGTGACATGGCAGCTTGTGGATCTGTTTGTCAGGATGATGCTGCAGGATAAGGGGTTCAGGAAGCTCATCTGGACACTGATGAGGTGAAAGGAGAGTATTTGTTGTGGCAACGGCATTGGGTACCTGGAGAGGGATGATTCTGGAAGCAGTGGTGTTTGAGAGGAGCTTTTGTGGTAGCTTTTTCTAAGGATAGTGGGTAGCTGAGCACGGATCGCGCCATGGAGGATGGTGCAGGAGCAGCTGGAGTATGGGTGGTTCCGTCGACCGGGATGGCGTCATCAAATAAGAGGGCTTTCTAGCTTCAATTCCGAAGCCAAACAAAGCCATGCAGAGTACCAGTGCATTGGTATGTCTGCTCGCAACACACGCAGGTTTGCTTGCAGCTTTTCCTTTTGCATTCACAAGGCAGCTGTGCACAGGAGTTGCAAAAACTCCATCTAGCGGTCGTTAGCTTCGCTGTCTCCAGCTCGCTGGCTTTGTGAATGCAAAAGGAGGAGCTTGATATGGTTTTGCCTTTTGTTTTGCATGGTGTAATCTCACACGGTGTTAATCATGTCATCATGGTTTCTGCTGGGATTCATCGTGTGCCTGAACATTTTTCATCCACCTAACACACACTCAATCTCAAGCTCGTGTAGACAAACAGAGTACAGCTAGCTCCTGTGGGATTTCATATGCATTTGCACAGAAATGCTGCTACGCTCTTCCCACCATATTTTGCAGCCAGCATCATTCCAATCAGCCGGCATTCTTGAGCCTTGCCCTCCAATTCGGCATGTCAGAGGGAGCCAATGTAAGTACAGCACCAGGCCCAACATTGTAATCTGACAGGAGCGTTTGCGCATGCTTCATGTATGCCGCCTGATTCCCACAGAAATAACCCTGCTTCAGGTTGCTGAACGGTTCCATCCAACGGCCCTCGTGAAGCAGCTTCTGCTGGGAAATAGGTATGCCAGTGTATCTCTCGATCGTGGACATGACGGATTCTACAGTTTTCTCAAGAGATTCCACTTCAAGGACGTAAAAGCTGCCATCGAGGGAATTTTTTATCAGCAGCTGCATGGGAGTTGCGATCAAGGAGGACCTTCTCTCCTGCCAGATCAAAACTCCAAGCTTGATCAGCTAACCAGCTGCGGTCCCAGCAATTCGACTATGGTGACGCGTTCCGTAATTAACCAGGAACCGCACCAGAAGGTCGCAGGAGTCCAAGCCGATCATTACGTAATTGAAAACTGAAAGAGGTATTTAGGTCCGAATTCGACGAGGTCCACGTTGGCAGTGAAGAGAAATGTCATAGTAACGCAGGTCACCGATATCGAGCGCTTCGGCTCTGGTGTTCTACTGCGGAGAAAGCGCAACGTGGAATGATAAGACGGCATTAGGTTGCGGGCCAACATGCACGCTGAATCTCAATCGCGAAAGAGAGTTTCGGGCCGCATCTTCCGCTGAAGCACGTGGCGGACTCTAAATTACAGAACCACGGTTTTGTGACACGCGACATATTTACCGACTGTAACATGCTTCGCGGGGAAATGCTGCTTGAGCCTCGGCATGGATGACCCTTTGCCTGCCATTTACCTCCCGTACCTGGCGGCCACAAACCTTTCAGCGAATCCGCATGGCTGGACACATTTGTCAACCCCCGAACCTGAATAGTCTTCAGTAAGGGACCACCAAACCAGAAGTTCCAGATTTGGTGGTTCGGTTACACTGTGCCCTGATGCTGCCTTCCAGCTCACCATAGGCTTGGAACACGTGGTGGTGGCGACAGTGAACAGCTGGCTCCTGGTTGTTCACGCCTCACGCATTTGACTGGTTGGTCGCAATGCCATTCAACTGCTGCCACACACGATGGCCCGCCCAACCTCAGCTGTCGAGCAGGGCAGGACCCCCAACTCAACGCCTCAAATCCCAATTCTTGTTCTCATCAGTTTTTCCCCACAAAAAGTGTTGCGGCACTGGCGGTGTTTCATCTTCGGGAATCGGGAGAATGGGGACGAGTGTACAGCTGGCCGTATTGCTCCCTGTTGCGGACGAGTAGACAAACTTTCGTCGCCCTCTACACCGTTCTGTAAACCTATATACCAGGAAGAACAAACCTCCAGCTGGCTTCTTTTCGAAGGGAGTTGGGCATTCCCAAGGGTGTTTCCCTCTCGTCCCTCGCTTGTCCCAATCCAACCCCCTACACTCGCATGGCTGGTTTCTTCAACTGTGAGGCCCCAACAAACCCAGGACAAATCCAGTAGAAACCGCTGAGCAACACTGATCCATGGAGCAGGCATGCACCTCACAGCACAGCAAGCAAGCCAGCAGCATGGTGTCGTCATGTAACGGTTACAACCAGAATGGCTGCACGCGAGGCAACTTGTCCCGTGTACTATTCCTCACACTCACGAAACGAAAGTGTTGTTCTGCTCCAGCCTCCAGGCATCCACTCCTCTCCTCTCCCCCTCGTCTGTGGTGGAAATACAAGTGTGTACAAAAGAACGTTGTCGTCCCAGACCAAGTGCGTCGCCGCGAACGCATACAGTCCGGCCATAGACCTGTTTGCATTCCTTCGATTTCAACATCAACCCCCTTTCGTCTTAGATTCTGCTGTTTGTCACTTCATGCAGTTGAGCGGTTCTTGTACTTTCGTCCTTCTGCGAGTCTTCTGTTCTGCCCGCTGACGTCTGTGTGTTATCCATTGCCGTTCCTGAATTCACAGTAACTGCTAAACTGACCAAACACATCGCGCTCCACACTGCCATCCCGTTTCTGCCTGGCCGTATGACCGTAGCTACTTATTAGCTTACGGGTAACCGTATTTCAGAACCATCCGCTAGCACAAACTCCGTTTTATGCGTTGCGGCCTTCTCTCAATTGATCACCAGGATTTTCGACTCAAGGATTCCGTATATTAGTCGGTGTACGGAAACTAGGCGCTCAGAAAGCACAGCCAATTTTTCTCCTAATTGTGTTGTTTCTCGTCGTAGGCGAGCTTTAAGTACGGCTTAGTAGCAGCCACTACTGCTTAGAACTCACTTCAGAACTCTCTTAACCTCTCGACACCTCTCAGATCGTCGCAATGCCTCTGTCCAAGCGCGTCGACCGCCTTTACGGCGTGGGTGACGGCCGCACCGTAGTCCTCGCGGTCGACACGTGCAAGGGTTGCATATCCGCGTTTGAAGACCTCCTCGCTACAGGCTACAAGTCCACCTCTTTCCTCGGTACGCACGAGAACCCCGCTGCGCGGGGGGAGTTCCGCCTGTCCCCCGCGGATCGCCTAATTGTCGTCTTTCACCGCGGGCATCACCTTCCGTCTCCGCTGCTGCTCCGCCGCTCGCGGAGCGACGTCGCCGCGCAGCACCAGCAGCTGTTGTCGACGCTTCCGCTGCTCACTTCCCCGCACGTCCCCCCGACCGCGCAGCCGTCCCCGCACCAAGCATCCCCGCAAAAACCGGCCGCGGCGATGTTCTCATTCCTCGCAAGTCCCCGCGCGCGGTCAGGCTCGTCAAGCCAGCAACAACAGCAGCAGCACCAGCAGGCTCAGGGTCAGTGGCCGCGGTCTTTATCGGGTAGCCAGCAGCAACAGCAACAGCAACAGCAGCAGCAGCAGCAGGTGCAGCAACTGCATGCGCCGAATCACTGGCCCAGATCGCGTTCAGAGGCGGGAGCAGGAGCAGCAGCAGGAACCGCAATGGCGGACGGCAGTTCACCCCCCCTTGGTACGTCCTCTTCTCGCCTTCGAGACTTTCAAAAGTGTGTCAAAAATGGAAATTCTAAAACGAAACCGCAATGTCGGACGGCAATTCAACGTCGTGAGATGTTGGTACGTGCTTTCGTTGCCTTAGAATTCTCGATAGTGTCTCAAAAAAAAGAATTTTCAGAAGGAACCGGAGTGGCGGACGGCAGTTCACCCCCTCGGTACGTTCTTTCCTTGCCGTCCTGTCACAGTGGTTAGTAATGCATGAGGGCCTCCCACTGACATTCTCTCTTTTGGCATCCCCGTTACAGATCACCCCGCGGCGGCACAGAGTCAGCAGCTCGCCGCGTCAACCGACAGCAAGGCTGACGTGGAAACCGTGGTTGTGGTTCCATCTACGCCTGCTAAAGAGGTGACTGCCAAGCTCGCTCGATTCCATGGGCGGACGAAATCAGCAGCGCTGAAGATGGCCGCCATGGCTCGGTCTTACAGGGTACGTATGTGTGGAGTGTGGAAGGTGTACCTTAGGTGCAGCATTGTAGCTTTAGCATGTTATGCATGGTGCGATGAGTGAATCAAAGTGCTGGCAAGGGTTAGGGATGAACTTGTTTGCAAGTTTTGTAAACACTAGGATATGGCGCCTTCCCTGACCATCCTTGCAGGTGCGGTTTGAGGCTATTGACCTGGATGACTTCCAAGGATCAGCTACTCTTGAACTCGGCACTACATCGCCCCAAATGGTCTCCAATTTCAGCCCAAGTTTGAAAAACAGAGGAGCTGGGCCAGGCTGGGATCCACATTCCCAAATGTCCCAGCAACAAGCAGCTGTCCCTGCAGTCCGGCTACCACAACCACTTCCGCATACCTGGGAAGGCACAGCTCAGGCGATCCTTGCTTTCTGTTCTAGGATGGGTGCGGATCACTTGCTTCTGCCTGCCTCGCATGTGTGTGGGTTGAACATTGGGGCTTGGTTCTCCTGCCGGGGCCTGACGACACACTGTGTGAGGAATTCTCCGTGTCCAGTTACAAGGCTGGGCACCACCAACCGGACAACCGAGGGATTGCGGGTTCAAGTAGCATCCAGCTGATAGGCAGGAAATAAGTCGTGCTCTTTAGAGTTGGGTGTGAAAGGCAGGTTTTTGTGTGGACTGCTTGCTCATGGTAGGATTTGTGGGCTGCACATTGTCTTGCACACCTTGTGCACAGAAAGCTAGAACCTTGCTAGATTGTATAGGCAAATGCCTTTGCTGCTTTTATGATTGCTTGTTTCACATCAAGTGTGAAATCGAAATCAGCTTCAGAAATTCTATCGCTGCCTGGCTTTCTGTGCCAATAGCGGAGTCATCTGACGGCAGTTGCGAAGTGACGCGCAAACTAGCAGAATCAGCCGGTCGTTACTCTGTGCTTGTATGTCATTGGAGGACAGAACCTCGGGAGTCACGACATTTCGGGAGATACAGCGAGTTTGACGACCAGGCCTACAATCTGACGGTTTAGCGGACAAGTGAGGCAGCCAAGGCTCGGTTCGGGATCTCCCGAGGCCTGGGAGGTAGAGGTGTAGGAAGATGGACGGTTGGATTGGACCCTCTAAACTATTGGCAAGCTCCCAAACCCAATCCCAGCGATGTTGCTGAAGAAGTAGTTGGTGGATGTTCCCAAGGAGGAGCTTGGCCTCCAGACAGTGGGAAGGTTTTGCTATGGAGTCAACCAGGGATATGTGATGTTTTGTTCAGGGCAAGTCTGACGAGGTAGCAGTCTAGCTAGGTTTCTCGTGGTGGTAACCTCTGTGGTTTCCCAACAGACGGGTGATCTTCCTGTTTTTATTCTTTATCAAGAATAGCCTACGCTGGAATCAGGAAGCACTCAGTCAGGCCAGGCCGCCAGCACAGCTGACCACCCAACGGCGGCTTGTTAGTACTCTTGTAGTACTCGTTCGCCTCCTCGTCGTCAATACAGTGCACAGACAATAAGCAACCATGAGGCGACGACATGAGTCCACCTGGGAGAAGCTGTTCCACTATCGCGGGGTCATTGTCGTCGTATCCGTCCCCATCTTCCTCATTATCTTCATTATTCTATTTATGCCTCACGGGGAGCCAATCACGGATGACCGCGTTATCCATCACAGCGCTGCAGATGAGGTCAACAAGGCGGTGGCGAAAATGCAATCTGGAGGAGAGAACAAGTATGCCGTCATTATCGACGCAGGAAGCACTGGGAGCCGGATCCACGTGTACCAGTTCAACCCCAAACTCGAACTGATGGAGATCGGCGACGACTTGGAGTTGTTTGTTGCGGTACGTCTCCGTCCCTCTAACTCTTTTCAATATGGAAAATGGCTTCAAAGAACTTTTAACATTTGCAGTTAAGGTTGTCAGACATGCGTCCGCGTATCCATTCAAGATGGCTGCACCAGTATCGGTTGATGGTCCAGATCTCGTCCTCCGAGGACGTCATTTCCTGCACCAGTATCGGTTGAGGACGTTTTTTTTTTTTTTTTTTTTTTTTTTTTTTTTTCCGTTTCCTAATCCCCTCCCCCCCCCCCCCCCCCCCCCTCCCCCATAATGTCTTCATGCACAGTTGAGGCATTGACGATTCTATCTTCCTTATAATCTCTCCACTGACATGTCGATACTCGTAACTACTGTCGTCACCACCTGTGTTGCAGCTCAAGCCAGGTCTGAGCTCGTTCCGCGAAAACGCTAAGGGAGCGGCGGACTCGCTCCGTCCGCTCATCGACAAGGCGCTCACCGTCGTCCCCGAGGAAGTCCGCTCCACCACGCCCATCCGCGTCGGAGTGAGTCTCGTTATTGGAAATGCGGTACACCGCACAGTGTTTGCGTGACAAAGCTCCTATACATTCTTTCAGTATCGTGATCCGTTGTGCTCGAGCTTCGTTCCGAGATCTGAGGCCAGTCTGTCGTATTGTTTTGTTGAGAAATACTGACATGCAAGCTGTTTTCCCTGTGCAGGCAACGGCTGGTCTGCGCCTTCTCCCTGGCGACCTCGCTGACAACATTCTCCAAGCCGTAAGCTTATCGTTTTACGACCCGCCATTTTGGTTCTCGCTCAACTTCCTCCTTCTACACTGTTCAATCGCGTCGAATCTCTTGACTATCCCGTCCCATGATCCCTAACAGTCCCAGCTGTTTGTTTCGTCTCTAGTCTTGAGGATTTCCTTTTCACGCGTCTGACTCGCCCTCTCGCTCTCTCAATCTCTCGCTCTCCTCAGGTCCGGGAGATGCTCAAGGAGTACCCCTTCACCTTCGCTGCCGATTCCGTCAAGATTCTTGATGGCGCCGACGAGGGCTCCTTCGCATGGGTGAGTGCCTGCCACGGTTTCGTTCTTCACACGCCCAGGAAGATCGTTAAACGCAGTCGCCTTTCCCTCCGTTGGTATGCGCTTCCTAGTAAAATCGCCTAAATTCCGTTGTAAAAAGCATGGGAAATTTGTGCTGGAGGATGAATGTCAGTGCATGACCTGCTAAAACCCCTTGTCAGCCCCGGCTTTCGCTTGGTAGTTCCCTCGCCGAATTCCCATCCATATCTACCAAGCCACAGTAACCTCGCAAGAAAACGCGCAGGTAACTGCGTGAGCTATTTGTCTGTGCGGCCTCGGCGAGGACATTGGCCACACGGGGGAAATGGATCTGGTTAATAAGAAAAACGGGTTCAGTATCCTCCGTCTTTCTCAACCTGCCATGCAGGTGGCGGTGAACTACCTCCTGGGCAATCTCGGCAAGGACATCAGACGGTGATCTTAAGCCGTTACACTATCCCACTATCCCTCCATTCATATCCTTTCCTTTCGCCCTACAGGTGACGGTGAACTACCTCTTGGGCAATCTCGGCAAGGACATCAGCCACACGGTGGGGGTGGTGGATCTGGGCGGTGGTTCCGTGCAGATGACGTACGCGGTCCCTGATGACGTGGCAGTGAAGGCGCCCGAGGGCTACGTTCGGAAGCTGAGCGGAATGGGCAAGACGTACGGGGTTTACGTACACAGGTGAGAACGGAAAGGGTTTTTGTGGATGGGCAAGACACGGAGCGGGTTATTGAGGATGGCAAAGACACGTAGAGGGTTACTGAAGATGGGCAAGAAATGAAGGAGGTCTTTGGCGATGGGCTAGACGTGCGTGGTCAATGTGCATAGGTGAGGCCAATGTGGATCTTCTGGAATGGGCAAGACGTAGCAGCATTGTATAGCTCAGTAAACACTTTTAAACACTTTGCCTTCTCCCCTTGACTTCATGCATCCTCCATTGTCACATTTGCTGTGTGGCATGGCACCTCCCAACCTTCCCCCATTTATCAATGAACCCCCAGCTACCTGGGATTCAGTCTGATGGCAGCGCGCGCCCAGTGCTCAAGGCGAAGAACTTACCTTTCTCCCTTTGTCTTCCGTGCTCCGTTGTTGCATGTGTTGTGTGGCATGGCACACCCCCCTCCCCCCCACCCTCCTCCCCTCCCATCCCTCAACAAACCCCCAGCTACCTGGGCTTCGGTCTGATGGCAGCGCGAGCTCAGGTGCTCAAGGCAAAACCAGCAGGGAGCGAGGGGCATGCGTGTCTGCCCAAGGGCACTGACGGTGAGTGATGAGGGGTGGTGGAGACAGAGAGCGAATTGGGGTACGTCGCAAGCGGGAGTGTGTGAGAGGAGGATTCATGCCTTCCCAAGGGCACTGATGGTGAGTGACAGGAACAGAGAGTTGTTAGAGTGAAAATGCAAGCAAGTACAGAGAGTACTTTTTATTTTCCAGAACTATCAACAAGCTAATTTTCTGGTGTGAAAAAAATCACGGATTGTTAGACCTGGAACGGTTGCAGAGAGCCAAGTGTGGTGAAGAACCAAGTGGGAGCATGCGAGGGACATGCCTGCTCAAGGGCAGTGACAGCAGTGGCAATGAGGGGTGAGGCAGCGAGAGGAGTGTGGGATGTATGCAAGCTTGGGTGGCGAGGGGCTTGTGCCCCTACCAGGGGTCAATTATGGCAGTGGTGGGACAGCAGGCGCTAGACAGCTGAAGGGCGGCGATTCATGTTGTAAGGTCCAGTGATGAAAGGCGGAGCCAAGGTGAGTGGGTGGCAATGGCATGCATGTACGTCGCAGGGCGCTGGCAGCCTGGCGCTGAGTGGTGAGGGCCACTGATGAAAGGCAGAGCCAAGGTGAGTGGGTGGCACTGGCATGCATGTACGTCGCAGGGCGCTGGCAGCCTGGCGCTGAGTGGTGAGGGCCACTGATGAAAGGCAGAGCCAAGGTGAGTGGGTGGCAATGGCATGCATGTATGTTGCAGGGCGCTGGCGCTGAGTGGTGAGGCACAGAAGGAGATATATAGAAGAACTATCTATAACACAAACACAAGGGGATGCGGGTGACACAAAGGAGGGCAATCAAAAAGGAGAGGTTGCAAGGCAAGGGAGTCAAAAGAGGGCTATCACATGCACCGGTTGCGCTTGTAAAGGGCCAACAAGCCCCCCGCAGTGCTGTCTATACACTGTTCCATGAAGACCCCCATTTCATAATGTTTCCCTTGCGCACACTATCCAGGCAAAAGCGAATGGAAGCGAGTGCTGCTGATTAGTGTTCATGGTCTCTGGTATTTCTTACAACACTTCCACAATCCCCCCTCCCCCACCCCCTTCAAACCCACCCACCAGACAAGTACGTGTATAGCACATAGGAGGTCCAGGCACAGGCGCTGCCAACGGGAGGGAGTGCAGCGGAGTGTGCGCTGCTGGCAGAAAAGGCGTTGGAACTGGGAGCGGTCCTTGCTGGTGACGCAGCACCAGCCTGTATTCCTCATAACCGTTTCCCACCCCCTTCAAACCCACCCACCAGACAAGTACGTGTATGGAACAGAGGAGGTCAAGGCACAGGCGCTGCCAACGGGAGGCAGTGCAGCGGAGTGTGCGCTGCTGGCAGCAAAGGCGTTGGAACTGGGAGGGGCCCTTGCTGGTGACGCAGCACCAGCCTGTATTCCTCATAACCGTTTCCCACCCCCTTCAAACCCACCCACCAGACAAGTACGTGTATGGAACAGAGGAGGTCAAGGCACAGGCGCTGCCAACGGGAGGCAGTGCAGCGGAGTGTGCGCTGCTGGCAGCAAAGGCGTTGGAACTGGGAGGTGCCCTTGCTGGTGCCGCAGCAGCACCAGCCTGTATTCCTCATAACCGTTTCCCACCCCTCTCAAACCCACCCACCAGACAAGTACGTGTACGGAACAGAGGAAGTCAAGGCACTGGCGCTGCCGACAGGAGGGAGTGCAGCGGAGTGTGCGCTGCTGGCAGCAAAGGCGTTGGAACTGGGAGGGGCCCTTGCTGGTGACGCTGCTCCTTCGTGCTCATTTGAGGAGTGCACGTTCGGAGGGGTGTGGAGTGGTGGTCGGGGTCAGGGTGCCTCGAAGCTCTTCATTGCTTCCTACTTCTTTGACCGGGCTGGCCAGGTGAGTCAACCCACAATAGTTCTAAGATAAGTATATCGGTAAGCTCTTAAAGCTGCGGTCTACATACCTCCAGGGACGGGCCTTGGTTTATCACTTGAAAACCAGGTGAACCAAGTACCTGTCTGTGGAGAAACCATCGAGGCGGAAATAGGGAGGGGACTGGGGGTTCCCAAACCAACCGAGGCCATGCTCGATAGCAGGTGTTTGTTTTGCAACGGAACGGGAGGGGGAGTGTTTAGTGGTTGCAATATTTTGTTGCGTTTGGTTCTGGATGAAACTCACAGAACCGACCCCCCGCGTCCCCGTTCCGTTAATCTATTGAACAGGGCCCGAAACTTGACCTAGAACTTCCGCCCTTTGGCGCATTCATCCCCCAAACCTTCCCCCCTCACGAAAAAACAACATATTCGCTTGATTCTGTTTTCCCAACCCATCGTCCCTAGCGAAACTGAGTAGTTCCGCCAAGTCTTGTTGGCTGGGTCGCACGCACAGCTCCGGAAGAGAGCCTCTTCGCCAGCGAATCATAGTGTGTCAAAGGGTGTCCAATAGAAATACCCCCAAAAACACCCAGAAGTATGTAGACCGCAGCTTTAATTGTCTCGTACTGCTTTGCTCAAGCACCCCAGGTAAGCTGCTGCTGGTGATGCTGCTCCTGAAAAGGGGTTGCACTTAGCAATCCACTGTTTTCCGATGTTCCCCACCATGATTTCCCGCCCTATTCTTGGCACAATTCCCTGAGTCCCCCTGCGTACTCCCACTCCCACCCTGCGTTCTCCCACTCCTCCCGTGGTTCGCCCACTTCTCCCCTACAGCTTGGTGTTATTCCTGACCCCAAGGCGTCATCAGCTCCTGTCAAGGCAAAGGACTTTGCAGCGGCAGCTGAGGCTGCCTGTGCCACACCCTTGGAGGAAGTCACAAAGAAGTTTCCTGGGGTGGAGGGCAAGGACGCGCCATACATGTGCCTGGACGTGGTGTACCAGCACAAGCTGCTCACTCATGGCTTCAGTAAGCATTACATTGATTTCATAAACATTCATTCTATGTTATCATTTGCTACTTCATTCTTCAGCTTTTGCCATTGCTGGCATCTGATCCTGATTCCCGAATTCTTGTTGGCTCTGTTCATCATCTACTGTATTTTTCAGGGATTGATGATTCGGCACAACTTACGTTGGTGAAGCAGGTCACTTACAAGGGCAAGGATGTAGAGGCAGCTTGGCCACTTGGTGCTGCAATCGATGCTATTTCGTCTTAGAAAGGCTTTTATTCTATGTCTGCTAAGGCTTAATTGGATGTTGGAGAATGTGTGTATTGAATGTGGAAACGATCTCCAGCTCAGCTTGTGTAGCCTTGAACAGTCAAGGCTATTGGTGTAGTTCAGATTGTGAAAGTCTACTTAGGCTGACTTGCAAAGGCAGCGTTTATCATTTCATATGGGTTGTAGTACATCGTTCTCGTCTTATATATGCCTACATAACAGCATGCACAAATGGGTGGGCGGGCGGGAAATTAGAACTACAATTTCAGAAATGAAAACGTGGGTGGGGACCAGGGCAAATTTTATCAGTGTAAATCACCCTGATACCCTGATTATCAGGGTGGTTTTTGGTAGTCACACTGACGGCCTAGGGTAATTTTTTCGGGAGCTAGAATTTTCCTGATATGCCAGGGTTTACATTTAAAGCTGTCGCCTACATACCTCCTGCGGGAGGACCTGGTTTATCACTTGAAAACCAGGTAGCACAGGGCTTCGCTCCATCCTTGGGTGGCGAGGTGCAGTTACTGCTTTCTGACAACCCAACCCCCCCTCTGAAAGTTGGCCTGCTCAGGATTGGCTTACAAATTTCGCGCCAATCTACCCCCCAACCTCGATTGGTTGCAGGTTGTGGCGAAATCGCCACCACAACCCCAACCTCAAGAAAAAAGTACCCCCCCAACCAAACCTTGCACGAAACTGGCGGGATTCGCCAGTTGTGTTTGAATCCTTCGCGCCCCCATTTCTGGAAAGGGATCATTTCGTGTGCAAATCAGACTGCGTCTTAGGGTGTGCACCCAAAATACCCCCAGAAAATACCCTTTGGTATGTAGACCGCAGCTTTAAGGCACACTGATGACTCAGGGTTACCGATTTCATAACGAGTTTTACCCTGAAGCGAGTACCATACCCCCCCTTCCCCCTAAACCCCTCCACCCCAATTCGCCCTCGCACTTCTGTCCCGCTAAATTCAACACTTAACAGAAAATAGCCAGCTACCAAAATTCTCAAGTTGGAGTGGCCCGGTCGGTATATTGAATTTCCGAAGGGTGAAAACTAGGGATCGAATCTTGTAGATCGCGTTTTTTTTCAGAACTTCAGTAGAAACACTTCATCAAGGTATTGAAAATTGTTACACTGTGGCATAAGGGTAAATTTTTTGAAACTATGGAAAACCCTGATGGAAAAGAATTTTCCCAAGGGGTCACACTGATAATCAGGGTTTTGCAAAGGTGCAGGACTGATGATAAGGGTTGCTTAAAACCAAAAATTAGTCCTGGTGGGGACGAATGTCCCCACGTCCCTCTTTTGTAGGCAAAAGAGGGTGAGCAGCGCTTCGACGCTACCTTTGCTGTGTTGGCCACGTACCCCTTTTCACAATACAAAATTTTAGAAAGTGTTACATTTCATTACACTTTAAAATTTTATCATATTGTGAAAGTCTACTTAGGCTGACTTGCAAAGGCAGCGTTTATCATTTCATATGGGTCTTCTGAGGCAAGTGCAGTCGAGGCTGGCGGTGTCGTTCGATTGATAGCTGATGCGTGGCGGGTGAGGGAGCCGTCGAAGGATCCTGCAACTGCGTGGAGAGGGAGATGAGCTGATCCTGCGCGATTGTAACGTACATCTCCTTTGCGCTGTCGCTGCGCCATCGGCCCATGCGTTTGAAGAGCCGGTCAGGAACTCCGAGGCTTGCCGCCGCGGTGGCTGCGCCTTTGCGGAATGAGTGGGTTCCGATGTGCGCGACATCCAGTCCAGCCTGCCTGCCGGCCGCGAGGCACCAGTTTCTGATCGTGACGTAGGATGGCGATTTGTCTTTCGGTGTGGCTTGCGAGTTCTTTGGGAAGACCCTTATCAGCGGTCCATGTGGCACCTTCGTGAGGCCTGCGATGCGTATGAATTTGCGTGTGCACCTCACCGGGCAGTATGGGCCTGGAATTGCCGCCACTGGGATCCAAACACCCCTCCCTTCCTGGTCCGTCTTGGAGTGCGGGATGAGCAGCCACATTGCCTTCTCCTCGAACTGTACATCATTCCATTGGAGCGAGACGAGGTCGGAGTAGCGCAAGAATGCCGAAAACATGAGAAGAGGAATCAATCCTTTCTGGTATTCCGCGGGAATTGATGATTCGAGGAAGGGACGGGCCATGTTGTGCACTTGATGGAGAGATATGGGCTCTTTGGTCCTTGCAGGCCGGGGACCATGTCTCTGTCAGATTATAATGCTTGTCTAGCCTGCAGTGGGGTACGGCCCCTTAGGGTTTCCTATTTGTATCCCAACTGTTGCTAGTCAACCCCTCCTTTGTTCATTACTCTCTTGCCTAGCTAGCTAAACCCTAGCTATGGCTCCTCACTGTGCTTACTCTTTTGACATGGTATCAGAGCATTTACGCTCCTGGCCTGTGGGCCCACCAACTGCTTTTCCTGTCGTTCTGTTTGTCGCGCGCCCCGTGCTGCGCGACGTGTTATTTTCTTTCCGCCACGCGCTCGGAGCGCGTGGCGGCTTTTTCTGCTCGCCGCGCGCTCGGAGCGCGTGGCGGTTTAACCGTCCGTCGAGGCGCCTTCAGGGGGCCCGTGTGTCAGAATCCCAACCACTAGACCATTGGGATAAAAGGGCTTGTTAAGTAGCGGGTCAGTGCGCCCATAACCCCCCAGGACAACGAGCCTGTTACCCTTCCCTAGGATCAATCGGGAATCACCAGTAGACCTCTGACACCCCCCCGCACTGAGATGCCCGAAGTGCACACACTGGGATTCGAACCCGAGACCTTCGCTCTGATACCATGTCAGAATCCCAACCACTAGACCATTGGGATAAAAGGGCTTGTTAAGTAGCGGGTCAGTGCGCCCATAACCCCCCAGGACAACGAGCCTGTTACCCTTCCCTAGGATCAATCGGGGATCACCAGTAGACCTCTGACACCGTGCGCTGCCCCCCGTCGCCCGTCGCCCGTCGCGGCGTCTTAAGGGGGCCCGCCCGCTGCCCCCCCTCCCGTCACTCGTCGCGGCGCCCCGGAGGCCAGCGCGCCACCCCCTTCCGTCACCCGTCGTGGCGCTCTCGTGGGGGCCCGCGCGCGGCCCCCTTCCCGTCGCCCGTCGTGGCGCCTCGGGGGCCCGCGCGCCGGCCCCTCCCGTCGCCTCGTCTCGGCGCCTTGGAGGCCCGCGCGTCCCCCCCTCCCGTCGCCTCGTCGCGGCACCTTGGGGGCCCGCGCGTCGCCCCCTCCCGTCGCCTCGTCGCGGCGCCTTGGGGGCCCGCGCGCCGCCCCCTCCCGTCGCCTCGTCGCGGCGCCTTGGGGGCCCGCGCTCGGCCCCTCTCGTCGCCCGTCGAGCCGCCCTCGGGGGCCCGTGCGCGGCCCCCCTCCCGTCACCAGCCGTGGCGCCCTCGGGGGGCCCGCGCCCTGCTCCTTCGTGGCGCCCAGGAGACCCCCCCGCCTCCTCCCTTTCCCTCTGTGAACCGCCCCTGCTGCTTCCCGCGCTCCTACCTGCGTTAGGGTTTGGGGGTGGCGGGCATGGGGGTGAACGGTGTGGGTAACCTGCAGCTCCTCCTCCTCCTCCGTCTCCCACTGCTGCAGCTGCCGCTGAGGGGGGTGGGCGTGTGGGAGCCGAGAGTTTAGGGTTTAAGGGGGGTGCCGTGGGAGTGGAGCTAGGGTTTCAGCAGGGGGTGTGTGAGAGGGGTGTGGGACGGTCGGGGGAGGTTGAGTGGAGGCTGCCGTCTTGTCGTCCGCAGCACCTGTAGTCCGGGGCGCTGTCCTGGTAGCCCAGAGAGCCTGCTGCGCCTGTCGCCCGTGGGTCCGTTGCTCCTGCCGCTCTTCGTAGCCGCCGAGCCAGTTACTCCAGTAGTCCGGGGCGCTGTCCCGGTAGCCACTGTGCCAGCCGCTCCTGTTGCCCGTGTGTCTGCAGCTTCAGCCGTCGCCTCCTATCTTCTCTCCTCTTACAGTCCCGCCTCCTCCTCCTCACTTGCCCTTTGTGAATGCCTCTAGCTTTGCTTGTCCTTGTGAACCTGCTCTATGACTGCTTGCTGTGCTGATTATACCCCACTTTGACTATGGGGGTGTGTCAGATTATAATGCTTATCTAGCCTGCAGTGGGGTACTCTGTAGTGAGTACGGCCCCTTAGGGTTTCCTATGTGTATCCCAACTGTTGCTAGTCAAACCCCTCCTTTGTTCATTTCTCTCTTGCCTAGCTAGCTAAACCCTAGCTATGGCTCCTCACTGTGATTACTCTTTTGACAGTCTCTTGGCGAACTCCCGCACTTGCAGGGTGAATGGGCCGGCGGTAGGGAAGGTTTCGCCTGTCATGCGGTGGGCGAAGGCTACTGCCGAACATGTGAGGTTGATCGCGGAGAGAGTTGCTTTGTTGTTGAGCGCGTGGATGAGATACAGCGCTAGAGTCAGGTCGGTTGCCGGTAGGAACTCGAGCTTAACTTGGGTACAGAAGGTGCGAAATCTCTACCAATAAGGTTGGTACGTCTCGACTGTAGATGGTGCGCGAACGTGGCTAATTACGTGCACCAATTGTTGCTGCAGTTTGGCCAAAAGTCCTGAAATGACACATTGATAAAAAATTTATCAGACTGCATAGTTTACATGCAAAGCAATGATTGGGCTATGAGGCAATCCGAGACCAGAGAATGCAGTGGTGTGTGAACCTGCCCGAAGGCATTGACTGCCTTGGGCAAGGGAAAGGTGCTCTATTACTGCCGGAGCCCACGATTGAGTGGACGGTTGGAGAAGCGGCCACCATGACGCTCCGGTCCACTCGGGAACTACGAGCGTGAGTTCTGTCTTCGTGAGTTCCGCATGGCGGAGTGTAGCGGGAATTAATTGTGGAGGCGGGAAGGCAAAGCATTGCTCGCCTTTCCACGAGATGGAAAATGCGTCGATAGCGAACGCGTCGGGGTGCGGTATCTTGGAGCAGAAGCGCTGGACGTGATTGTTCCGAACGTTAGCAAAGAGATCAATTGTGTGGGGCCCCCAGCGGCGTTCCAAGAGGCGAAACC